ACAGAGATTCTCTTTAATATATTTGTTATGGGGGGGGGGGGGGGGAGGGGGTCATTTGTAATGTGAAACCAGCATTACTCAAGGTCCCAAGGATTACAATTCCTCAGAGTTTCTAATTTATCCATGGATTTTCTGCATGTTGATAAAGTATAATGAGTATACAACAAAGCGCTTGAAGAATGAAAAAGGGAGGGGGAGATTCGCAAATAAGAAATAAAAATAATTTGAATAAGAAATATACTGTATTTCAAGATTCATGTGACGTACACGAACAATACAGGTATCTCTTTTTTCTCATCAAAATAATATTTCGAACTTCATAATCAACGTGCATTTTTCATTCTTTTCTTAAACACTATTCCCCCCCCCCCTCAAAAAAAAAAGGAGATAAAAAAGAGAGACTATAGTGTCTCATCATTACAGCAACATCTAATAGGATTATCGTCAATATATTATGGCAGTCAACCAAATATGGTTTATTCCCCGACGAATTCAGAAATGCATCTTTTTCTTGTACTATCTCTTTATCTTCCGTAGATCTTCCCCATTGCCATGGTAATAATAAAAAGGTGAAATCTAAAATAGATATTGCTTAGATTACTGTAGTTGTGCGGATGGATATCCAATGTTTTCATGTGCACAGAACCACCTTGACATGAAACGAGCGATGATTCTAGTATGTTTATAAATACATATTTATCTGACGTATACATATTAGTTGAAAGGCTTACACAATATAGCTTTTACTTTTTCAACAATTATGTCTCATGTATACATAGCATGCCTTTTATATCTAAATTAAAAAAAAGTGAAATCGTATATTCCATGAATAAAATACAAGGTATTATAAAATTGCTATCCGTTTCTCACTCTTTCTCTCCCTATTTCGTTCTCTCTCTCTCTCTCTCTCTCTCTTCTCATTCCGCCGAATCTTTCCCCCTCTCTCTCTCTAACACACAACCGACTGTACATTATTATCATTGGCGGATCTAGGATTTTGAAATGGGCGGATGAGGAAGGGGCTCTTCCTCCTTTTTTACAGGCAATTTCGATTTTGTGGAGAGAGGGTTTCTAAGCATCCTCGAAGGGTGAATGTCGCAAGAAATACATGACATTTTTACTGTCTTTGATTTCATATGGACTATTATACTATCGTGATCTGGCTGCATGAATGTTCACAAGAACAAGTATATCCTTCAACATAGATCGTAGGGATTTTACAGGATTTTTACATATTTCGTAGAACCCCAAATTGCTGTCATAGCAGTACTGTGAGGAACCACTGTCTTTCCCAACTCAGTTCAGTAATAGGCGCGGCGTCAACCTAAACAGCATGAAAACGGATCTATTCAATAGAATCGAATTTATCAGAAATTTTCTCGCCAGCCGAAATTTTAGTGGTGGTGATGGACTGACAGTTGACCTTTTCTGTCTAAAATTGCTCGTTGGATACCGAGCAAAAGCAGCCAGTGCATATGTACACTTCATGCAAACTTAATGATTATTCTCGCGGTCTCTTTAGTCTTGAATTTGGCAAGGACTGAGCTAGACCCCCTCGAGCTGACAATGAATACCCTAGCCAAAGCTCGAGAGCATGGCGTAAAAATTTCAGGCTCCCGTCATGCTGATTAGGTTACATTTACTGAGGGGCTAGGAAAGGGTGTTAAAACACCGGGAGAAGGATGGGGGATTATTTGGGGGAAAGAGGATATACAAGTGCATAAAATGGGACAGTATCACGACCCTCTCCCCCTGGCCCCCGGACTGCAAGTAGGACTGCTTCATAGGATTGCCAATCCATGTATCCATAACCATGTGTTGTGGCCTACAATGTGTGAGTGCGTGTGTGTGTAAGTGTGTGTGTGAGAGAGAGAGAGAGAGAGAGAGAGAGTAAGAGAAAGAGAGAGAGAGAGTAAAAGAGAGACGGAGACAGAGAGGGAGATAAGGGGTGGGAGAAAGGGAGAGAAAGAGACAAACTCATTTGATTGTGGACCCTTGGTAGGCCAATAGCATTAGTTTTAACATGGACATTTTGGTAACAAGCTGATTTTTTCAGGATAGGTCCAAGAATATGTCTAGATTAACATACTAAAAGTCCTCATAAATCCTCTTTGAGCGTTTTCCGTAATCCAAGATGGCGTCTAAAATGGCCGCCATTTCCTGAATTTCTTATACCTTTGCAACTAGATAACCCAAATACAAAATTTAAATGTCTAAATATATGTTTTTTAGCATAAGGAACTCAATAAAATACATGTTGATAAATTCTGAAACACATTATTTTAAGGGGAAATGAGCAAGGGGAGGGGGGAGGGGTATTCCCCCTTTCCCTCTATATTATCATCATCAGGGAAAACAAAATGTTATTTAACATTACGATTAAGTGTGGGAATAATAGCAAAGTAAGTAATAATCACATTGCTTCTTAATCCTGATAAATTGTGGCCATGTTTTAAGGATATGTTCTGCAACATGGGAAATGATCGTCACAAAGGCGATGGTGTTATATTAAAGGTAAAGACCAGTATTGGAAACGCCCCAATTTCAAAAAATGAAATGGAAGCTCTCATTACCAATCATGTGAAAGAATATGTTTTGACTAATACATGATGATAAAAAATTTGCCGGGAAACCGCCTACTAATTGATATATTTGGTAAATTTATTTCTCTCATGGTCTGTGAGAGATATAGGGTAGTCCCACATACATCTTTCTGTGTATAGTGCTTGTAACATTACGAAGAATGGGCCAAATTTCTTATCATTTTGATGATTCCAGAACCTTGCAGATGCTAGATGCTAGATGATCAACCTTTTCTGATCGATTCCACAACGTTTCTTTCACAATGCAATCGCATGACCATAACTGGTCTTTACCTTTAAGCGAAACTCCATACATAGCAAACGCCGTTTCTGAATCATATACTGAATTCTGAAATATCCTTAATTAAAGCCCAAGTCCACTCCAAAAATAACTTATTTTCAATAGAAGCAGAAAAATCAGACTAACCAATCAAAAAAAGTCTGAGCAAAATCGGATAACTAATAAGAAAGTTATGAATTTTTAATGACATTAAAAACTTTGAAAATCACTAGACAAATTGGCAACAAACTCATGAGTCTGTGACGTCATGTCCTCACTATCCACTAATTATTTTCTTTATATTGATGATATAAATTTCCTATTTTATCCTGAACAATTTTATTTCTTCACACCAGCATCCAAGTTAGATTAATAGTAATATGTTTTTGTGTGGATGCACTAATATAGAGTATTTTTTCCCCAGTTAAATCATGAAAAATGTGAATTTTGATAAACTATTGATAAAAATAATCAATAATTATGAATATACAATATTCAGAAAATAGTATAAATTCTTCAAAGTTCATAAAAGATTTTGTGAAATGTCATGCACGCAATATGATAAAAATCATATAACCTGGGAAAAGGCATGGGGAAATCAAGTTTTGGGGAGTAAAAAGGGAAATTAATGGGATTAAACTATATAGAGCAATTGATTAATAGTGAGGACATGACGTCACAAACTGATAACCATCCTGGCAATTTGTGTGTGATTCTCATTGTTCCATAGTTTTACATACTTTTTCTTATTAGTTATCCAATTTTGCTCAAACTTTTTTCAATTGGTTTGTCTGATTTTTCTGCTTTTATTAAAAGTAAGTTATTTTTCGAGTTAACTTGTCCTTTAAACATAGGCCTCTAAATCAATAGATTATGCAAGCATCATGCAGCTCTCATAATCAAATCGTAAAAGGTACGTAATACTGTTTCGCTCTCTCCCTTCGTTCGCTAGCACAAACACTACATTCACTGCACTGACTGCAGTTGAGCTGTTGATGGCACTACGCTATAATTATGCAAATGTATATTATACCTTTGATAAAAAAATTCGTCACCCTGCCCCTCATTCTCCCGAACGCAATCAGAGCAGGAAAATTGTTTTCTCAGTGATGAAAATAAGGGATCGATGAATGTCCCCCCCCCCCCCCCCGTACAATCTCCGAGCAGCTAGCGTCTTTGCGGATTTGCCCGGCATGCCCCCGAGGGCCAAAACAAGAAATGACAAAATATATATATATATATAAACATAACCCGTAGCCTCCTACGACTCGGCCCCAAAATCGTACGAAAAATCGTAGACCAATATAGTACGGTGCCCGGGGCAAATGTACACTAAGCATTAGTATTATCATGATCTATATCAGCTCAGATTCGTATAAATCCGAAGAGATTGATTCAAGAAAGGATTCACTGAAAAGGGGTTTAAAGATCTATGTCCCTTTTGCAGCCAACATCAAATTCTGTAGAACTTTGCATGAATTATAAATATGTCATGTATGTCCTATCTGTGAAATTTGAACGTTAGCATATAATATTCAAGTTATGCAAGGAAACCCGTTTACTTGCTAGACTTCACTGTCAGACACTATTGAGTGACTGACTGGCTTTTTTCATCTTTGGTAATAACTTACATAAAATGATTTGTAAAGGGTACATAAGCATTTGTCTACATCAATAACCCACTTCTTGTAATGGCCAAAATTAAACTGATTGAATCTTTGCACGGCATAAAACGTACGACCATTCGGTACAAGGGTCTGAAAAATCTGACTATTACTTACTGGCTCTGTAGCTCCTAAGTCGATTCGACAACTAATAGTCGTTATTTTCCCACTTAAAGACATTTTCAAGCCCACTTATTTTTAGGGAAGTTCTAAATTAGTATTGTCTTTCAAATGCCGTTGGAATTTAACCTTTTCATTTGTTTGGCCTACGAATGGGACATTGTACCTTTAATTCCTCATGAAATAAAACTCATGAGCATTCTAATAGTTCCTAAGGTACAGTATCATGCAACATATTAAATTTCTAAGTCGAAGGATTAACGATTTAGAAAAATATACAGAGTGTGTATTGCATAAGGAGCGGAGAGGTTTTTGTTTTTCTGCTTTATCGGCATGTATTTGTATACCGCCCTCAACGAGATTACGCCGCATAGAAATTCTAAGATATTTTGTTCTTGCGTGGAAACAAAAAAGACAGGGAAATCAAGATGCCGACTGACGTTGATACACTCATGGAAATGGGATTTCCAAGGAATAGAGCGTAAGTGTATATAATATAGTAGCTGTGATTTTACTTTCGAGATTCTTATTGAAATGAAAATGTACAAACACAATAGTCAATAGAGAGCTTTTCTGAATTTTAACCGTTTCCCTACACGAAATGATACGGTTGGGACCGGTATGAAAGATCTAGACCCCTAGGCCTATACTATAGTAAATTGAACAGTTGTGCTGTGTCATTCTAAAAATTGCCCATGTCATAGTACGTATAAGAGGACTTGAGAGTTTCTCGTGTAATGAAAATTGGTAGATTTTACCTTGTATGTTGAATGGATGTTCCTGAATCGCCCAGGAAAATAGGGAAGCATGTCAGAAATCGCAGATCATCCAACAAGACGAATTGGACCGGGCCGAGTCTAGATCGACTTGTCACCTTGTGTATCTTGCTACTCATGATAAACAACTTAAATTGTTGAATGTTACATGACACAGGCGCTTAATTAAAGCCTGAAGTTATAAGGACCTGTATAATTTAAATGTTTTGATCAAATTTTGATCAAACAAAATTCACAAGTGTATGAAGAACCAAGAAGGTAACAAATTTGCCTGAATAAAACATAAAATTAAATGTCTCCTTATATTTTTTAAAGTAAATTCTGTTTACAGGGCGAATATCCATTGAATTTGAACTAGAAATTGTTGTACTAGTTTCATGTCAGTTTTGTAAAGCGCTTAGAGACATTTTTATGAAGCGCTATATAAAAATAAACATTATTTATTATTATTCACTCAAACTCTTATTCATCAATAGCTAGACTATGTGAATAAGAACATAGGATAATTTGGGACAAGTGACGCTATGACTTCTTATGGAATGCAAAGAAAATCTAGATCTCCATGTTTCAATCAGTGATTAAAGTAGGATCACGCTAAGCCTCATCTTGTTATGTGTCAATGAATTTTGTTGACTGTTTTCTTTCTAATTGTTTTATCTTGCCTTTATTTTGACAGGGAAAAAGCTCTTGCAAAAACTGCCTATAAAGGGGTTCAAAATGCTATGGATTGGTAAGCTCACTTACAGTCAATAACCAGGGGGTGTTTCACAAAGAGCTTTAGTTAAACTTATCTCTAAGTTGGACTAAAACAATATGGAGAGCCATTTGTAGCCTTGAAATAAAATATATTCAAATTCAAAAATTGAAGTATTTTAGACTTGTCATGAATTCCACATCAAGAACATGAAATCTCCTTGATATTTGATAATAGAAAATATGAAGGATTTGAATCAACATTTTATGCCTTTTAAAATAACTTTACAAAATATTTTCAAAGTTGCTTACAGCTTTCCTTAATTGTTTAGTCCAACTTAAGTTAAAGATTAGTTCAACTTAGGATCTTTGTGAAACACCCCCTGAATTTGATAATTGATATTGCATCATGATCACGTCAAGTTAATTTAATTCAAAACACCAAATAAAGTGTTTAAAAAACTATTGAAAAGCAGATTTTGCAAAATAAACTATTTTTTTTCTCTCTTAAAACAACATTGCACATGTATGTTTCATGAGTTTTTTGCTTACTTTTATCCGACTACTATGAAAGAAAATATACTACAGTACCGGTATGCATATAAAATAAGCAACTCTGGCAACAAAAGTTTATATGTTTTTGTTATTATCCGTATCAGGTTATTTGCTCACAATGATGATGCAGACATTGATGACCCTTTTGAAGTGCCTGCAGGAAAAACCCTTGGAACTAGTGAAAGTGATTCTGGTAAGTGGAGCTTAAAGTGACTCAGTAACATTGCCTAAGATTCTGAAATCCTGGATTTAGTTCATGCTGCAATCATAATTATAAACCCTTAGGTCAGTCAGGAATCCCATGACTTTTACAAGCCAATCGCCGTCTGATTATCAAGATATTTTTGATTGGAAATCGTAATTTCATTTTTTGTTTTCATAACGGTTTTTATAACACTACAGTCTATTGTAGAAAATGAGTATGGTAAAACTGGTCACTCAAAGACTTTTACTTTTTTGAGGCACTTCATGATCATTTTGAAGATCAATTTTTGTAGAGTTTCAATATTACACCATATCACAGACATACCTGTAGATAAAATGTAGGGCCATGCATCTCAGATTTATAATTGTTAAATAACGCCTTTAAGGCTGCTAAGGCAACTGATCACCCCCCCCCCCCCCCTCTATGTTTTTACATTTAGGGTTCTATGTTACTTATCCTATATGTTCAAAATATCAGCTTTCAATATTTCTCCATTATGAGACATTCATTTCTGCGTATTACATTTAAATGGCAATTGTATTATCCCCTATTTCATTTTGCCATATTTTATTCTACCTATAACCAGGTGCTGCTAGTGGAGACTCCAAGCCTGCTGGGGAAACACCTGCAGAACCAGTTCAAGTCAAATCAATAAAGTGTGATGAGTGAGTAGCCCAGAACAGTAAAAGTAAACAGTTGCAACTATTGTTATTTTAACAACTTCAGAGTTGTCACTTATCTTGCTTTTCCTCAGTAAACATATCGTTCTATCCTAGAGGTACGATTTAACCTTTTGACATGGTCATCAAAATGTAGATTGTTAGAAAAGTCACCCCAAATTATTTGTAAAGAAATATGATTAGTGTGTAGTAAAGGAAAATTATTGTTTATTCAAATATTTGTTAACCCCAGTGCCCCCCACCCTTCTAGAAATGGGGGAAATTTAGAAATGTCCAAGAAAGGAATATATAATTTAATATGTACTGAATGAAAGTCAAGAAAAAATTAGGAAATTCGTGGAAAAATCATTTAAAGCAAGAAAAAACAAAATCTGGTTGATTTGCCTGCACATAAAAGTAATTAACTTCTTATGAGTTTTCTTAGGTCCAAAAGTAATTAACTTCTTATGAGTTTTCTTAGGTCCAAATAGCATATCCACTAGATGATTGGTAATGTTGGCTTTTTTATGTCTACAATGCCTCCTTTCAAACTGAATATATGTATATGTAGGTTTAAATAATGATACTGGAATTTGAAGCTCTATTAGGAAAAAATTGGAATGCTAGGAATTTTGCTGGCAAAATGATATAATGAGGGTATAATTCAATTTTTCATAACAAACATTTTCTTTCCTTTTCATTATCTCATGCTTTTTATTTTTCATTTCAGATGTGGAAAGAAGTTAAGAACCCCAGAAGATATTCAGGTAAATATTTTCCTGTCAATATGGATATCATACTGAGAAAAGATTTGAAATACACTAAGTCAATAAGATGTTGAGCATGGTAATGCATGTATTATGGATGATGACATTTACAGTATAATTGCAGTTGTTCAAGAGTGTGTAGTACAATATACAGTCTGGAGATATCAACATTTCTTTTCCTGTTTCTTGTTGTTTTTTCTTTTTCTTTCTTTGATGAAATACATAAATGTAAAATAAATGTGAAGTGATGCTTACAATGCAAAAATGACAAACAACAAAAGCAAAACATGCAAACTCTACAATAGCAGGCATCTTTAAAGAAGTATTACAATGCAAATACTCCCACACACTCAACAACAAGGCTGCAGCTCGATATTGAAAGAAAGTGTAAGAGACTAAGAGGATTATATAAAAACATGATTTCTTTCTGATTTTGGTCCGGCCTAACGGGTAATATGCATAGTATTTCAAGCGGCCTTGGTGCTGTTGGAGAAAAGGTCCAATCAGCTTCAATTACCGGTAGTCAGTAGACAGTTGTGATCTGATAACAATCTAATCTAATGCAATCCCCTTCAACTGTCCATTTAACAGTTTACAAATACATTACTTATTTTCAGTATGGTAATTCTTTTCTGTCACTCTGAGGGTGCGTATCAATGAATGTCCTTTTCATCTTTCTATAGGTGCATGCTGGAAGAACAGGCCATCAGAGCTTCTCAGAATCAACAGAAGAGATCAAGCCACTCACAGAAGAGGAAAAGAAGGAACAGCTTGCAAAGTATACAATACACAAATATTTATATGATATTGGATGGCCTTGAGTGTGATACAAGAATATATTGCTCGAGCTACGACAATATTGGACGAGCCAAAGATGAGTCTAATATTATCTTAGCGAGAGCAATATATTCTTGTATCACACAAAAACAAAGCCATACAATGTTATTATTATTATCTATATTAGTCTGACTAGCAAAATAACCAAATTTGACTTACCTCTGTAAATATGGCTTTGTTTTTGTGTGATATCGATATGATATCGATATCGATAGGTGAAGTTCCTGGATGACTGACCAATATGTCAGTCATCCAGGTACTGCGCTAAAGATATTGAATACACTAATTCATTTTACCACTTGAAACCCTTATAAAGATAATAATAATCTATATTTGTTTTTAAAGAGGAAGGCTGTTGTAGGTTTACTTGTTAATGAGGGTACCTGCAGGGATGTGTTACATTGTTAGTATTGTCCTGGTTTTCAAATCATCTTAACTCTCAACTATATGGTACATGTATCTCTTAGAAAATTCTAAATCTGAAAATTAGTTTTTAAAGATATTGATGCATGGTATATGTATGCGGTTGCTCATAAAATGTGATATAATGCAACTTTGGTTGATAATGGATTATGATCAGCAGATTGGTGATATATATATATGTATATTTTTTTTTTTTGGGGGGGCAGATGTTAGTCTTCCCGTTCAAGATGAATACTAGTAGATATCACATAGCTTATTGAGATCAATGTTTTTTATAGTTTGATATTACAAAAAAATAATTAAATGTGATTCGAGCTTAATATTTCAGGGTACCTATCGTCCCCAATACTAAATACTTAATTTTTGGCAATGTAACGTTATTTCTGTTGTAAAAATAATCAGCAGCAAGTGAGGTAACTAAATCATTGTTTTTTTTTTCTTTTTCTTCAACCTGCCTGGTTTGAAGGTTACAAGAGAGACTAAAACAGAAACAATTAGAAAGGGTAGCAAAAGAGAAGCAGGAAGTCTTGGACAAGGAGAAAATGAGACGGAAACAAGGCAAGCAAATGGTGCAAGCAAAACAACAGTAAGTGTAAAGAGAATAGTATAAAATATGTAGTATTTAAACAAGACTTAAGACATCAGTGAATACAAACTCCTCTCCACTTAAGACTCTTGTATTTAAACTTAGAGGCCCAAATTCACAAAGGGGGTTTGTCGACAAACCGAGGCCAAACCTCCTTTTGTTTTTGACAAACGAGGTTTGTAAAAAACGCGTCAAAACGTGTCATATGACGTACATAAACCTCGATTTGTCGACAAACCTCCTTTGTGAATTCGGGCCAGAAAGTTTGATGGAAACTCATGAAGCCTAAAGTTAATACTAGGGTATTTTTACAGTTTAAAGTGATGCAGTCCTACATGTAATAATCCTGGATAACATTATTAATCATGGATGGGGGGGGGGGGGGCATCTGCTCTGTTCCTTAATAATGCCCTCAAAGAATTGGAAGGAAAAGAAGGGAAAAGAAAAGTACATCTGATTCATTATATGCCTGATGACTTGTACCATGAGTTGACTTGTGCTACCCAATTACCCTACTTTTTTATCCAAGTGATTTTCTTTTAATTATTGAACGCTGTGTAAATGTTTGCTCTGAAATCTTCATTGCAGGCATGACATAGATGAGGCCAAACTACTAGCAGCTAAGAAAAAGAAAGAAAAGAATGAGGAAAAACTTGCAAGGTAAGAAATAACGATGTGATATCCACATACATGAAAGTACCAATGCATGATGGTATGGGATAGCACATTATTGTATCAATATTCTGATGTCCTGAGAGAGAGAGAGAGAGAGAGAGATTTACCGGTAACAACAATCTACTTAGATGCAATGTTATATTCCATAAATACAAAATGAAGATGATATATCAATCGTTCTAGCAGTTGAAAAGACGATAAAGTATATATTCCATGTAGAGTACATGTACAATTATATATTTGAAACGTACACAGAGACCAAATGAGTATTACTTATGTATGACCTATTCCTTGTTTCTAATTTGACAGGCAGAGAGTGAAGGAACAGATTGCATGTGACAGGGCAGATAGAGCTGCTAGAGCTGCTATGAAACATGAGGGGGTTCCCCCTGCTCAGCCCCCTGCAGCACCAGCACCAGCACCAGTTCCAGCTACAAGCTCTACAGCACCCAAAAAGGAGTATGACACAACTAGGTTACAAGTGAGTATGGATGTTCTTTAACTGTAGTTGTGGTATGGGTGGGTTGTATACATCTACTACACATGAAGGGGGCGGGGGATGAGGGGCTCAGATTTTTACGTTTGGTTTCAGTTACAGCCGTATACCGTACACCACATGATAATTTGTTAGTTTTTACTTTTAAAGTTTTTCATAACTGCGCACACTTAGAATTTGATCTCCAAGATATTCTGCGTTCCTTTAGTAATGAATAATCACTTTTGTTTATAATTTGCGGGATTTGTAATGAACAATGGGGAGTAGTATTTAATGATAATTCATTTTCTTGTGCTTATCTATCTGTCTGAGACCATTCATACTTGTGTAAATATTTCACCTTTTGAAACCCAGAATGGAGTTAGCTCTATAGAGAGTTATCCATTTTTCTAGCTCTCAGGAGGCAAAAGTTCCTTTGAATAAATGTGGAATATAAAATGGTCAATAAACAATTCTCTCTATGCATAAATATTTTTCTACCTGCTTTCTCAATTCATTTGTAATTGATCCCTCGCAGGTTCGTCTTAGCAATGGAAGTACCATCACCCAGTCCTTTGGAGCGATGGAACCTCTTGCTGCAGTACGTGTGTACATTGAACTAAACAGGACGGACGGACAGACAGGTGCCTTCTCTCTCATGACCCCATTCCCTAGGAAGGTCTTCACGTCAGAAGACATGGAAAAACCTCTCAAGGAACTAGGTAAGTGACAGAAGGCCACATTGAGGGGTCAGTGACACAAAGACGTAACTCCATTTTGGCCATTTTGAGAAAAAGTGGTTTATGTGTCACTGAGCACTTGGGCCTTAAGGAGTTAAGTCTATGTTTCAATTCAATTGGATGTTGGGTGGAGTTAAGTCTTTGTGTTTCCTGGAAAGCCCACCTTTTTCTGATCATTTTGATAGCAAATACTCATTTTGGAAAAAATATGGAGTTACGTCTTTGTGTTACTGCTTTGACTATCTGCAAGCTTTTTTCACATAGCAATTTTCTCAATAGGAGTAAATAATTTGACAGAATGGAAATTCTTTTAGGTAATCCTCAGGCGTCCGCTGGTGGCTTTTTCACTTTCTTGTTACTCTTAATGTTATATGCTCTGTGTTGTCATTCCTATTTTGTTTATACATGTACCTGGAAATCAAATAAATTTCAAATTTCAAATTGGTACTCTTTCGTAATTATATACACTTTATCCAGGTTTAAGTAACTTTTCAAAGCAGCACACTGACATGTCCAAAACAGAATCAAGAATGGGAATCCCCAAAGAGAAATTACATGTATTGATATATCTTTGCCCAAGAAAGCATACTTATGCTGCAGAAGCGTGCAAGTTTTACAGGGAGTTTTAAAGGAACCAGGGTTAGGCCTCAATAGGTCAATTTAAGCCATGATTAAATAATATAAGAATAATGACATGGTGTGTCTGCCATTAACAATTTGTACCTAGTTACAAATAGAATCAATCTAATCTATACATATCATTCCACTTAAGATATATTCTTAAAATAAGATTGGGTTTATATTTTAAAAAATTGGCCAACATTATAATTGATATTTTGAGGATATGCAAAGGTTGATCCTCTTGATAGGAAACAATTGCTCAGACTTTGCATATCACACATGTACATACTTTCCTCATTTGATTTGTTCATGTCTTATTTCAGTCTCTCTCTTTCTCTCTTTCTCTCTCTCTCTTATACAGGTTTAGTACCTTCTGCTGTGCTGACGATTACCAGACCTCAATGATACTCCTCCTCATCTTCATGTAAACCTCCTCTACATCGTAATTAATTCAGGGTTTGGGACTCTGATGTCATCTAAAGAAGTGGGCCATGTATTATAAAGCCTTTTTATTGATTGTAAGGTTAATATTGAGCGTAAGTCTATGGCTCATGGTATATTTATCACACTTAAGATCGATCATTACTCTTTATAATACGTAGCCCAGTGGGCAGGGCTCAGTCATGTTTCTTTCAATTTGTTTTGATTCATATTGCAATACAATGATCCTTATCATGTTCAGAGCAGTGTAATAATTAGATGTTATCTAGAGTTTGTGTTCTGATACAAGGTAAATATCCACAGCATCGAACCATTTTACAGGTAGCGTAGCAAAATGAGGTGGCACGAATAGATTTTAGAACACCTGAAGGTAAAAGCTATTGATGAGGGTGAATTAAAAATCCTAATTTGACATATTTGAATGAAAGTTTAGGTAAGCCTAATCAGGGTTTTACTTGTATTTACCAGCTCCATATCCTAATGAGGTCGCTACTGTTATTTTTCTGTAATGAAGTTATGGTTTTTTTACAAGCATTTTGCATTCCAAACCCATCTTTTTGTACTAGTTTACAAAGTTTTGTTCTCAGCTACATATTAAACGACAACTCCTGTACACATTTTGGGGTAAAGTATGTGAAATAGCTAAGCAATAAGCCTAGTATTTATTATTGCGGGTGAATATGTTTTCTTTACTAATCAATATTTAGAGCGCAGAATTTTCTCTCTTTTTTAAACCATAAAGGAAAAATCGTAAAATGGCTGTGCCAAAGGATTGTAGAGCATATTAATGATAAAAGATCCAAGAAACATTATATGTGGTGAGACAGTTTTGTGAAGCAGCTATTGTTATTGTATGTAACTGAAAGATGAAAAATTAAAATGTAAATTAAAATTTAGAATTAAACATATTTTTCAGGTAGTGCAAAATGTTTTTTGTACGGTCTGAAAAGAGAGGAGAGATGGTAGAGAAGGACAGAGAAAGAGGTGGAAGATATATGAAGAGAAAGAGAGATGAAATCAAGTTGCTGTGAAAAGATATATAATTACATGACCTCATACACAATGCATTATTTACTGAATTGTTAAAAATTTAGATAGAGCCCTTTCATACTTGAATACAATACTGTTTTATTAGCAATATATTTACATATAATTGACAAAAAAACAACATATATTAAAACATGTCAATTAATGAGCTGTTGCTATGTTGGTACTTGCCATCTTCATCTACGAACTGAACTCTGTCAGATAACTCGTAAAACATTTAGGTATTAAGTATGGAATTTTCTACACATTCCACCAATATTGTATTTTTAGCACCATGGAATTCAAGTCCCCATCCCCATCCCAGTAACCCCCCCCCCCCCTCCCCTGTGTTTAGTGATAAACGTCTAAAAACTAGAATAAACACTGAATTTAGACAATTTTTATAATAGTAGACTTATTCATACACCTCCTGTGAGGGTTAAAGGTAAAGACCAGTATAGGAAACTCCCCAATTTCAAAAAATGAAATGGAAGCTCTTATTACCAATCATGTGAAAGAATATGTTTTGAATATTACATGACGATAAAAATGTTGACGGGAAACCGCCTACTAATTGATATATTTGGTAAATTAGTATATCTATATACTGTTGAGAGATACAAATGCACATGTCGCGCACGTGTGTGTAGTCCTATATACATCTTTCTGTGTACAGTGCTTCTAACTTTATGAATACTTGGCCAAATTTCTTATAATTTTGATGATTCCAGAACCTTGCAGTACATCTATGCTAGATGATCAACCTTTTCTGATCGATTTCACAACGTTTCTTTCACTATGCAATTGCATGACCCTAACTGGTCTTTAGCTTCGAGTGGAATGGTACATTCAGGATATGACATCAAAATATTATTTCTTTAGATGGACTAAACCATAAGGGGGTTTAGAACTTTAGAGAGTATATACATCTGCACAAATGGACAAATATTGCACTATTCATTTATATTCATTTCCAGTGACTTCATGTCACAAGACAATCGTATACATTTTCAAGGGAGCATTTATAGTAACAGGCTTTTATTCCTTTCCTTTAATTTCTTTTAATTCACCTCAAACAAGGTGCTTAATACTTTAATTCTGCCATTGTATAAATAATTCTGTAGCAGTTAAAAAGATTAGAGTGTGATTTGCCTAATGAGATCTTCTTTGATGGAAAGAAAAACATTTGTATTACCAAGTAGATGGAGAAAGGTTCAATTATCCGGCTCTTCAGAAAATCCTTGTTTCTGAATAAAATTCGACAACAACACATACAAATCATTCTTGATATCCTTTCCTTTTGTTAACCACTGGTTAAACCCACGTAATACTCCACTTCAGAACTGTGCAAGAATTCAGCATTACTGTCAATTATCCACAAAGGACTAGCTATAAAAAATCAGCTCCATATAATCTTATAATCAGGGGTGTTTTCTCCTCAATCACATTCTGCTTCTCACGTTGGTATTATTTGTTGATAAGGTCCTAATCATGGAGGTTTAAAAAGCGAGCTCTCAATATGTGACGTGGGATGCCAGTACATTGAAGAGACAGAGAGCCTTTACAATGATAATGATATCATAAAGCTTTTTTTGTACAGTGCACTTCACATTACTGGAACATGAATAAAATAAGATCGCTATGTGCTTCCAGTGAGGTTCAGATACTAATACAGTGCATCATTCCAAGCAATGAATCCTGTCAGTATCCATTGAACAAGTGGATAGAGAAATACAACTCTAGATGAAATACCTCAACGAAGGACATACGCAACCAGCAGAGATGCAAACTGTCAACCTATTGATTCAGAGTCAAGTGATTGAGAAAATTCTGGGAATGAGCTCATGCCACAATCTTAGAATCAGAAGATTCTAGAAGGTCTAGAATGAGAAGAGTTCCATGATTCCCTGCATCGCACTTGTGGGTGTGCTTCAGATTACAGTGTTTTACAGGACACAGATACAGGGCACAGAGTGGCCCTCAGCTGTGGTACATCGTTATGGTACACTTCTTGAGTGTTGACATGTAACGCTGTAGAGTGGAGTGCAGCCTCGGATTCCTATCAGCCATGGAGGAGACAAAAGAATAAAAAATAATACCTGATAAAATCTTCCGAGGATATGACCTGCATTAGAAAAGTAACGATGCAAATATCTTTGATTGGGGGTGGGATGATTTTGTTGTTGTTGTTGGGTTTATAAGGCTGTCCAATCTTAAGAAATTATTTCCGCCTGGCATACTATTTTTAGAGTTATTCAGCAGTGATGATTAGATGGCGCCGTTTCTTTTTCTCTGGCTCGAATATTGATTCAGTGGGTATCACAGCTTCCGTTCATCCGATGGTGCGGGCAATAGTTAAGGTGTCGACCATGAACAGGTGGCAAGTATTTTATTATGAGAATATGGATTGTATATTTATGGATTTTATAATTTAAAAAAAAAAATCAATAAGCTGCATTTCTTCCAAGGTAGTTTGTTGCATAAACATGTATATGTTTATATAGCTTACAAACAATTGAACATCATTAATCCACACACTTGGCCTTGTTTTAGTGATTTTAGTGATTTGAAAATATTGTTATAAAGTAGCAAGTCAAATACAATACACAAAAAAATATCATCAAATAACAAAATGTCCTCTAAATCAATCATTTTCTCTCTTACATTTGTAAATGAAGTTCATATCCCAAAAGAGTTCACATACATGTTCCGTAGAATGTGATGGGCTTGAAATATACAAACCAAAGTCGCTTATAAAACAAAACAAAAGAACTATGAGATAAGACCACGAGCAGTACATCCACAATAGTATGGTCACATACAATGTAAAGCCTGTCAAAAACATCAACGCTCAATCATACATAACAAATAAAACAGGAATTATTATCATCATCATAACAAGGTAAGAACTATAACTCACCTGCCCATCGCTTCAACTTGATAGGCACTGCTGGTATAGACTGTGAGAAACTTGCTCATGTCATCTGCTGTCCACGATGAATGCCTACATGGCTCCACAATCTACAATCCAAATTAAAGATAAACTCCATGAGTACTGGTAAAAAAAATAAAATAATTCTCACAGAATCAAACGAAACTTACACTGAATGTTCAAGATTACAAATAAATGACATGTGCCAAACAATTTTGGAAGAAAATGTATACTGGCTGAGTAATGAACATAGAAAGACAAGGAAATCAAGGTAGTACTAGCCCCGACACCATGTGTGTTGTCCCATATATAGCTTTCTATGTGAGTGCTTGTTACTTTACCAAGACTCGGTCAAATTTATTATGATTTTGATGACTCCAGAACCTTGCAGTGCTCACCAATACTTACATGCTACATGATCAACTGTTTCTGATCCTTTCCACACCTTTTCTTTCACAATGCAATCGCATTACCAGTACTAAAGTTTATCTTTAAGCACAAATGGTATTAAACAGGATCTAAACTTCAAAACAAAGTTGATATAAGATGAATTGGACTAACTTGAGATCACTATCAAACATTATGGAAAATTGTATACCGGTACTTTAATTATGTTGCATGGTGTCATAGTTTGAAAATATTTCTTTATCACATTCTCCTTCATAAATGCAAAGGTAATAAATGGTAAAGCCTACATTTTTCAGAAGGGCATGAAGTGAATGCTTTTCTTGCTACAAACAGATAATACTGTTCATCCCCCTCCTACAGAGAAGAGGGGTTCATGGCTGCATTTCACACAAAACCAATGTCAACGCATATGCTGAAAGAGAAAGTTGAGTTCTGGGAAGAGGTGAAAAATAATTTGTGAGCATTAATCATTTTTATTATGCAAGTGTGGAAGAAAATCAGTTAAGACATGTTCCCTGAAAAGCATGGCTCTTCAAATACCTTCATATTCTAAATATGCATGTAACATCGTAAAAATCGGGGGGGGCCGGCTTTTTACGCCACGTGTTCGTGTAGTCCCATATACATCTTTCTGTGCAAGTGTTTGTAACTTTACCAAGACTTGGCCAAATTTCTTATCATTTTGACGATTCCAGAACCTTGCAATACACACAAATTCTTATATGCTAGATGATCAACCTTTTCTGGTCGGTTCCACACCGTTTCTTTCACAATGCAATCGCATGACCAGAACTCAACTTCATCTTTAAGTGTGCATCAGAAAAAGAAAAAAAAATTATTCCATTAATGTGGACAAATCAAGATTTGGAAGCATTCTTTGATTACCTTCTCTACGACATCATTGAAGAAGTCCCTGAGTTCTTTGGAGTGGATCATTCCACTTGCGATGCTGATGATTGCACGAGAGACGGTCTGATTTTCAGAAAGAGAAATAAAACAACAGGTAAAGTAGAAGAGATGACATAAATGCGCCATGCGCGATTAAAAAAAAAAAATGTAAAGAATGTTGTTTTGTGGTTTTCGCAAAGTGATACAAGCAATAAATATTAGTCAATGGTGTCATTGAATAATGTAATCTTACAGCAGGCCATTGCTCTCAACAAAAGATATTTGAGCTAACCTGTGGCAATAGTACGAGTAAAACCTTACCTTGAAATCACTTTCAATATCTGAATAGGCCCGATCTGAGATCTTTCCTTTAATGGTGTTGCACAGCAATCTGTAGAAAAATGGAAGAGTACAACAGCATTGACACTTTATCAAACAATATACTTAATAGTTTGGTAATTATTCAGAAATCTACAAAAATCCTTATCATAATTAGTTTACCATTCTAATACTTTAATAACATATCTAACAATAAATCAATTAAACAAAAGACAAAATTAAAACACATATATCTCCATACAAATACCCCAACAAGAGTTCAAGCTTTGAAAATGCTCACTTGTATGACTTTTAATTCTGATTTTAAAATTTTCATTGATCTCAGAACTAAACTAACTCACGTTCTATGTTGATCACTTGCATCTTTGTCATAGGCCAGAAACTTGAGTTCTCTCAGCGTCTGAAGAAATTCTCGGTCAAAATCTGCATCCAAGTCTTCTTTCCTGGAATCTGGGAGACCAGAAATATGTGTGATAGAACCAAGTAACACTCCCATTGCTTCATACTCACATAGGCACCACTCATAACTTCTAATCTTGCATTTATTTCTCTAAACAAATTATTTAAATTTAAGTATTTTGACAAACCAGACTGACATCATCTCCTCTCTCTATAGAGGGTGGCAGTTAGAAGAAATATGAGTCATGGATATCACACAAGTTTTCATAACACTTCAAGACTTCAAACAACCTTATGTAAACTGACCCCATTCACCTTTAGCTTAATATTCTAACAATACAAGGAGGTTTACAAGTAAGCTGGTCATTCCTCAAATTGTTCTTCAGAAATCTTTCACAAGAATAAGCAAATGGATGGATGTCCAGTATATTTGCATTTCTTTCTTCTATCATCTCAAGATCAAAATCTTTCAATATTTAAAATTTCTCTTAAAACTTATATGTACATGCCAGTCAGCTATTTTCAAAACAATTTGGTGCAGCATGGCTTCATGGAGAGTGAAAATGACAAAACCTGTGCCACTGAAACCAGACCCTTCAAGAAGAGTTCATATTAAACTATGATAAATCCTTCCAGTACCATTTAAAGCACCACTGTCCTGCTTGTAGCTACTTGCTCCCTCTATATAGAAAACTTCCCCAATCGGTGCCTGTTGATCCCCCATGATCCTCTTTTTCTTATGTTAGTTGAGAGCTGAGTTAATGAGATAGCCACATGTCAGTTACATGTACCTCGCTGTGTGGTCTAATCCCTTCTGGCCCAGTAGTATTGACGGTCTTTAAGCCTGGAATGATCACTTACCCACTGAGCCTACAGTCCAACTGCTGATCATTTCATCTGCACAGTAGGCGAGGTCATTGAAGGTCAGGTACTGGACACGCTTCTTACCAGTCTCAAAACGATTGTTGGCAAAGAACACAATTGCAGCATACTTCCTGACGGATTGAAAAGTCAGTTGTATTTGGTGATTGAATCGTGGAAGGAAACTGTTGTGTTGTTGTTGCTGACATTGATATTGCTGTTCAAATTTGAATTCAGAGTAATTATTTCCCGAAAAAGGAATCTTAGTATTCAACAAATAGTAATACTGGTTAACATCTAACTCTATTTCCAACAAAACTTGCTGTACTCCCACTGTTTAGCTATTGCCTAGGGTGATTAATGTATTAAGCCTATGGAATTGAGAAACTTCAGTAGCCAATGGGTTAAAGTCTGCTAACTCAACCTGATAAAGATTGAATATGTGTACTTTCACATTTCTGCTGTAATATTATGGGTAAACACTAAACAGTCCTATATTCTGATAACTCAGCAGTACATAAAAGTAATTTCTTCAACTGACCTGAGACACAATAAACAAAAACAAAAACAATGTTACATACTTGGCAAGTTCTTCAGAGAGAAGGAAATGTTTCTGGATGTTCTTCACCATTGGGCCTTCCATGTCCTCCACCGTCTTGAAAACTCTTTTAAAATTATCATACTGTATGAAGGGCAGACAGATGTGAGGCAGAGAGAGAGAAAGAAACAGAAAAGTAGAGGAACTCAATTTTTAAAATAAAAAGCCTAAGGTTACAATAGTCATCAAAAATGGAGATAAAATCAGTGGAGCCTGTAAAATAGGTGAATAGAAACATAAGACTGATGAGGAAGAAAAATTGGAAAATTCCCATGTTGATGCAGACACCTTTTGTATTCTATCATGAATCAAAGACATTAAAAGATTCTGCATCAGTCTTGGGGATACATTGGTCAGACATAATTTGGACATCACAAAACAAAAGTGCCCCTAATTTGAGATTATTGAGGAAAAAATGTGGGAGTGCTGAAAGAACCTTTTTTTCCATGGAATGTGAAAAGGTCAAGCACACATTTTGATAGTGAATGAGCATCCAAGGGACAGATCTTTTAAATTAATTATTATAAAAAATATGAAGAGTTTTACCTGTCTTCTGCAACTTCTAAGAGCCACATTGGTCTTGTCTCTAATCTCATCCAAGTCCTTCCTATGTCTGCTGGATAGCTTCTTACCGAGTATCTCTCTTGCAACGGAGGAATCCAATTCATAGAAACTGCCAAAGATATATGAACGGTTAAATATTTGTCAATCAATCAAAGATCCAAATACTTCAGCTAGGAATGAACTTCCTGATATTTGTTTTAGACATGGGTAATGGTTTCATATATGAAAATCCATATTCTACCTAACTTTTAAGACAATAAAGCTGTTATTAAAATATTACATTTCTATGTTTTAACAAAATTTAGTACAAAATAATAGACTTCTAGTGTATAATATCAGAGTAAAGTTTATTTTTTAACCATCTGAAACAGGCAAAGATTCCACAAAGAAAAACAGAGATTAAAGACAAAGACATTGATCCATCCTTTGTCAGTACTAACTTTTCTATGAGGAAACCTTGCATGTCTGAAGGGAGTTGAAATAATGGTTGATTGGCAAGACTGATGGGATTTTGTAGATAATTCTCCATGGCGATGAAAGCTCTGTAATTATCATCAGTATCGTTCTTGATGATCTCAAAGGAATAACCTGGCTTCTGTCGATTCACCTTCTGATGCCTCCTTCTGGCAGCTTCATAAGCTAGAAATAAAGGATTGTGTAAACATCTCTATTTAAAAATGTGAATTAGTGCCTAAATTTCAACAACAAAAATAACAAAGATATAACTCAGTCAGAAATAAACACAAGCAAATTGAACTTTGGGGGATTTTGGGGGCGAAACGCTACGACCTGAAATGGCCGTGGCGTTATCAAGGGAATGTGTATAGACGGTTTCCATCTCTAAAGAGAGAGAGCCGACCCTACCCCAATAAGAGGCTAACGAACGAAAGAGACGGAAAATTCGGTCTAGACTAGTCTAACTCTAAACAAGAACTGTGGAATTTGAAATATGAATTTAAGCAAACTAAAAATTCAATCGCACAAAAGGAGGAGGAAAGAATGAAAAGCAGGCAAGAGCCAAGAAAAAAAAGATTGAACAAACAGGATGAAAGTGGGAGGAGTGGAAGGATTAAGAAGACTAGTCTAGAGTAGCCTAGTGGTTTGAACTTAGAGCATGTTATTGTTAATTGAGTGAGACTGAGCTCAGATGAGAGGATGAGGATGAACCAGGCCAAGAGTCAAGACCAAGTCAAGTGTTGCCTTACCAGAATAACCATCCAGCCAATATCTGTAAACTTCTGGATCAACCATTGTGATGTTGCCAACAACGACGTTAACAGTGGTTTCCGACATTTTTCTTTCCCTCCTGGCAGTGTTGTGAATTGATGTTTAGTCTATATGAAATGGCCTCATTAGTTGAACAGGAGCTCGACCATAGCACTCGACTCACACACGTATACTGTGCATTGTGCGAGTGCGAGTAGTACGAGATTAATTTTTGGATACTTAGACGGTATCTAAATAACTAGCGCCTCAGAATACCCAATTCATTCTACGATGCAATGATGTCTATCAAAGACAAATTGAAAAAGAAAACACATCACAAGACGTGGATGGGTGCATCCTCGTCGGGCATCTACAAATTCAGAATAAAATCAGATTAATCGTTTATTGAAATAAAATCATGAAATGATAGTAACTGTTTCTGCTCGGGGGAGTCAGAAGGGGGAAGGGGAGACACAAATGAGGGAACCGATTTGAGTATCCCGTCTCAGTAATGCATTTATTATCAACAACTTAAAGATACTATGTTCCTTTTGCAGCCAACATCAAATTCTGTAGATTTTTGCAGGAATTATGAATATGTCATGTATGTCCAATAAACATTAGTAGTGTCCTAGTATTCAAATTATGCAAGGAAACCCGTTTACTTGCTAGACTTCACTGTCAGACACTAGTGAGTGACTGACTTTTTTTTTTCTTCTTTAGTAATAACATACATAAACTGTAAAGGGTACAACTTCAATAACCCACTTCTTGTAAATTAAACTGATTGAATCTTTGCGCAGCATAAAACGTACGACCATTCGGAACAATGGTCTGAAAATCAGACTATTACTTACTGGCTCTATAGCTCTTAAGTCGATTCGAGAACTAATAGTCGGTATTTTCACCACATTAAGACATCAAGCCCCCCCCCCCCCCCCCATTTTTTAGGGAAGTTCTAAATTAGTAGTATCTTTCAAATGCCGTTGGAATTTAACCTTTTCATTTTTTGGGCCAACATATGATATAAGACTGCGCCCCTCTATGTGCCCCCTGCCGCCCCTAATTTCCAATGAATTGTTTCTCTCTTTATTTGGGGGGGGGGGCGGGGTTGGGAATATGCACTAACAGGCGCCAATATTTATCGCACGAACACACACAACTCTGGGCGGGGGCAGTGGAGCGTATTTCGAAGAGGAAGGGGGAGGGGTACCAACAAAAAGGGCACTTCAGGTTTTAAAAAAAAGAAGGGGGGCACCTACAACGGGAAATCTCAAAGCAAAAATATACAATTTTTAGTATATACCCCTATTGTGATTACATTATCATTCAGGGATGATTTCAATGTCTCTTTCTCTCGTTAAACGGTCTAAGATACTGTTAAAGCATCATACTTTGCAGTTGGGTTTGTGATTGTCTGAATATTCAAGCTAATTTTAAGATAGGTGAGAAATTACATCTTGAAAAGAGGAAAAAACAATTCTGGTGGGGTTTAAAGTACAATCTAATCATAAAAGTCTGAAAAAGTCTGTGATAAAAACATTATTACTTCAACTTGGAATGCGAGCGAGCTTAGCGAGCAAGCTTTAAGTGAAGTTAAAGAAAAAGTTGCACTTTAAATTAGGAGCACGTTTATTGTGAAACTGTGAATAAAAAAGGTGGCACACATCCCGAAGGAAAAGGACACTTCAAAGAAAATAAAAAGAGCAGTCAAAGTAAAAAGGGGAATTATCAGAGGTGAAAATGGGGCACTACTCGCACCTTATAAGTGGCACTCAACAGAGAAGTGGCACGTGTCAAAGTAAATGGATATTTGGAGTTGAAAAGGGGCACTATTAAAGAGTCAAAGGGGGTACCTCTAACATTTGAATACAAAATAAAAGGAGGACAAACAAAGAAAAAGAGGCACTTGTCAAAATATAAGGGAACAGGAGCGGATCCAGGGGCAGGGGCCCGGCCCCCCTCCCCTTTTGCTCAAGGGTGCGATTTTTTGCGAAAATTTGGCCCCCCAAAAAAGTGCCTCTTATCTCCCCCCCCCCCCCCCCCCCCCCCGAGATGGTAAAGGGCACTTCTTGTACTTGGAAAGTACAAGAAGTACCTGAGATGAATAGGGGCAATTGTGAGAATGGAAAGGGGCACTTGATACAAAGTAAAATGGGCACTTGTTAATGAAAAAGGGGCACTTGTGAGATTTTAATGGAGGCATCTATTAGAGGAGTCAGAATGGGCATTTATGAGGAGGCGAAGTGGCTCTTATTAAAAAAGAAAAGGGGCATTTATTAGGAAGAAAAGGGGGCACGTGTCAACATGATAGGGAAAACTTGATTATCAGAGGTGAGTTGTGGCACTCATCAAAGATGAAAAGGGGCTCTAATTACAAAAGAAAAAGACACTTGTTAAAGTAAAATATTCACCAGTCAGATTTGAAAAGGGGCACTTATAGGAGGTGTTTGAGGCACGCGCGGGCACCTATATATTAGAAAAAGGGGCACTTATATGAAGTAAAAGGTCCCCTTTCCTATGTTAAACGGGTACTTTAGGGGAACTTGAACAAGTGTAGGGGGGGGGGGGATTTCGTCAAAAGATTCTAGCGCTGACCCCTCCTCGCGCCCCGTCCATTATGTTTTTTTAATCTGCTTCTTTTTCGGTTGCCTGGGCGGCTTTCTTTGTATTTGGTTGGTTATTTCAGCTCGTGACATGTGATCACGAGATCATGAGATGTGCTGTTATAACTGAACTTGCCTTCGCGACATCGACAGCTACAACTACATCTCCTATAACTTACTCGTCTGAAAGAGCAATACAACTTCCAGCTGATTTCTCCCCACACGTCTTCAAGAAGGACATTACAAGATGATGGCTAGAATAATCTTCACATTTATTTGCTTGGTATTTGTCTGCCATAATGTAGCAGAATCCCGTACTGTGTCAATGTATGATCTGAAACCAGCGACTCTGATAAAATCAATTTCAAAGCCTGCTCTTCTTGGTGGTGATAGTCCTATTTTCAGAAATTGCAGCAAAACATCAGGTGAGTGAACATACTAAATCTAGTCAAAGACAAGACTAGAGTCGATTAACTCGATTTGTTCCTTTTTTTAAACTAAGAAAATCATTGCAGAATAGACCTGCATAAACATCGAAATAGATAATGACTTTGGAGTTTGGTCTTAATTCTGCAGTCAAGTTAGTTTTGCCTCTGGATCAATTCAACCTTTCAAACTTATTGTTACATAAATCTACAGTATCAGTACCTCTGGAACAGTGTTGTTGTGGAATGATAACTAACTTAGATCTATGTAAGTTCGCCTGAAAAGTTAAAGGTTGATAACTCACTTTAGCTTGGTATTCTGAGTCTGAGATTTAGTATTAAAAAAAATTGGGCTTAATCAGAGAAGGTTAGCTGAGAGATAAGATACAACTCAAATTATGAAAATCATTTCTAGTGAGATCTATATCTATTCTTACATGTATATTATTAGATCGAATTTTCTGTCTCTTTCGTTCGTAAGCCTCTTATTTGGGTAGGGTCGGCTCTCTCTTTCTTTAGAGACGGAAGCTGACTATACGCATTCACTTTCAAACACCAAGGCCATTTATGGCCATATTGTTATGCCCCGAAAATTCCCCCAAATTTTATTTTACCTCACCTCGTGCATATCCAATTTATTTTATATTGTAAATTAGGCCTATGCTATAATACAACGGTTCCACTTACCAACTTGATTGAAATAATCCGTTTAATGGTCCCTTTTTTAGGAAATTATGGGTCATAGTCGACATCCATGTTGAAAATCTTGCAAGCTGTTTTTTAATTTTCGCTGCGCATAACGTCATCTATATCTCATCCCTTCTAGCCTACGCCGAAGGCAAAATTATTATGAAGGAAAAACTGTGCGCGAGCTACATGTACACGTCGTAATGGCATTATCAGTTTTTCTTCATAATCATTTTGCCTTCGACGTAGACTAGAAGGGATGAGATTAAGACAAGTACGTACAACTTGCTAGGCCGTCTCTTTCCAAAATTATTAATTTATTGAATTTTCTCCAAAAAAAACCAAAAAAAGGAATATAAAAGAAAATGAGCAGAAGGAAAGGAGATGGAAAGAGAAAGAATCCTAAAAATAGTCATTTATGACATGAAATTGTACATATATATATATATATATATATATATATATATATATATATAAATAATTCATAAAATAGTGTGTGGCAAAAATAGTCAACTGTGACTGATTGCCAAACAAAATCAAATCAAGAAGATGACGTCATGCGCAGCGAAAGTTAAAAAACGGCTTTCAAGATTTTCAACATGGATGTCGATTTTGACCCATAATTTCCTATAAAGGGACCATTAAACGGATTATTTCAATCAAGTTGGTAAGTGGCACCAATTTATTATAGCCTAGGCCTAATTTACAATATAAAATAAATTGGATATGCACGAGGTAAAATGAAATTTGGGGGAATTTTCGGGGCAAAACAATATGGCCATAAATGGCCTTGGTGTTTGAAAGTGAATACGTATACTATAGTCGGCTTCCGTCTCTAAAGAGAAAGCCGACCCTACCCAAATAAGAGGCTAACGAACAAAAGAGACGGAACATTCGGTCTAGTATATTATGTGAGACACACCTACATGTATCTAGTACTTAGTATGATGTCATTTTTACCATTATAATGTTTGATCACTCTCGTCATGTTCAGCTAATATCACTCACTCTCTGTCACCATCTAGTTCTCTGCGGCAAAACCACAAAAGAACATGGACAGTTTTATTTAGTATTTTTGTATTTTATGTCCATTTTAAATGTTAGCCTTTAAAAAAAAGTGCTAGAACTTTTTTTCTGGGGCTTGATTGATTGATTTCCATGAAATCAAAATAATATGCACGCTGCCATCAGATCAGAAAATTAAATTTAGGATGACGGATAACCAAGATGAGCAAACTTTCCCAATGAAAATATTTTTCATGTTAACAGTAGTTGCAAGATTTGCATCCTGCATTGGAATTTTTTCAATTTAATATATTTTTTTTAAATTATACAGACGGATTTCAGCTAACAAATGTTCTCGTTGCGGGATGTTCTGTACCGCCTTGCCCCTTAATCAAAGGAACAAATACTTCAATAGAGATTGACTTTATTGCTGGTAAGTATGCACATATATTATAAGCTTATTATAGTATACTCCTACAAACTAGACTCACTACAGTTCGTCTAAAATTATACTAATTTACAGTATGTAAACTACTTGGGCTTACTTGAGCGAAAAGAATGAACAAGGGCTGTGACATTGTTATATCAAACAGATGTTTGATAATCATACATTGATTCATTTGGAAATCTGTATTGCATCATATGGTGTTCAATTTATTATTGATGCATGTATGAAACATTCTGAAGTTCTAAATGCGAAAAATATTGTATGATGCCATAAACAGATTTGAGGATTTTAGACGATTTATACATCGATAGCTATAGTAAACAAATTTTCAAAGAAAAGCCTGTCACAGAATAAATCTAAACTCATTTTCATTATCTGTCACATATGATTTGGACTACTTCCTTGTATACTGTTATATATTTATTGGCATTTTGACAAATATGCCGTTGTCGTACTAGTCATCCCTCCATCATTTACTCTTTGAAAAACGTTTACAAGAATGAACAAGTGTGAACATTTCATATTGATCTAGTACCTGTTGACCCTTATATATTACAGATAAGGAGGTAACAGCAGTAACAGCCAAGGTCTATGGTCAGATCGACGGGATTAAGGTTCCCTTTCCTCTCACCAATTCTGATGCATGCTCCTGCGGAGTTGCATGCCCCACCAAAGCCGGAAATGCTTACAAATACAAGTATAGCCTGCCCATAGCGTCCGAGTACCCATCTGTAAGTTAAATACTTTATGTGCCTTTACTCACATAAGACGGTTGGCCCATCTGTCCACCCTGCTGTATGCAAGGAAACTAGGAAGAGGGGACACATATTATTCCCATGCCAGTGTCCTTACTTCTGAATGTTAAGTTAGAAGTCATACATGTTGATCACCTTTTAATTTCGATGGAACAGTATTATGCATAATTTTGAATGGAGTTGGTTTATTAAAGCATTTGGTTGAGGGCTTATATTTCCTCCAGGATTTAGTATACACAAAAACCCTACAGCGTTGAGGGAAAATATGGTCTCACAGGTTTATGAAATGTTATATTTCAGCCCAATCCAATTAATAAATATGTGGTTTTATATATAATGTAGATGTTACAAAACAAGTTCATGATTGATAAGGAAGCTGATATATTTAAAAGCATATGGATAAAAATAAGGTTTTTAATACCAGGATTTGTACATTGTTCCAAAATGGATGACACATCAATGTGTGTGTTCAGCTCACGAAAGTTTATAATCTAACAGAGGGATGAGATGGTAGTTTGCATGAGGTAACATTTCTTTCTAATAACTTACAAAAGTTATGATATTTGTGTATACGGTACATGTATTCAGAAATAGATTTACCAGGATGGATCAATTCAAGTAGTGGCACACACAAATAAAGACATGAATAAATGCATTAATTAATGAATTAAGTAATCAATCAAAAGTATTTACCCTCATAGGCCTCATTCTTTCCACCTTGATTTCTTCATCTGATTTCTAGATGACTCTGGCTGTGTTTTGGTACCTCTATGATGCAACGGTGGAAGAGCTTTGTATGGATGTTGCAGTCACCATCAAGGATGCATAATCTACAGGCAACCAGTCTGTCTTGCAAGGTGTCTTCGAGTAATATCCTCTTTAATCAGATTAAATAAGTAAAATATGCACTTAGTGATATATTATAGCTAGACACTGCTTCATATCTCTGCTCAAGCAAGCAATAACAAATACATATATAGCGGTGAGAATAGGGACTCTGCTTTGGGTCCTGATATGAAATTAAAAGGGAAGGTGGTGCTTTATCATGGAATAGATTAAAATCTTTGGAACCAGCCTACAGCACTGCTCACAAGTCTACGCTCATTACATTCGGAAGGTTCAGGAACTTTCTTCACCCTTTTGTATGCTGTACATATAAATCTTCAGTTTTGTAAGCTTTATGATAGTATTTTGAAATTACCATTCATTGATGCAATGCATCACATCTCCTCCTTTATTGTCCTTTTATGCAGAAGAATTTGTTTAATTTTTTCAGTTGTTGTGTTAACCGTTATTTAAAAGAACTTCCTTGATAATATTTGGAAGCACCTCTGTTGGCAATGCATCATTGGCACTATCAGAAAACAAATATCAAGTGCTCTAAAGACTTGTTCCTGGGGGGGGGGTTCCTTTTATGTCTATGACCTGTGTGTATTGCAAAGAAGTATCATTTTTCACTCAGTTTTGTTGTTTTCTCGATCATTTGGGACTTATGTTGCATCAGAGCTCTTCAAAACTTTAAATGCCTAAAACTGAGTAATCTCATTATCAATCTCCCATGCTAACATTGTTATCAGAGTCCTTGAAACCATATCTACATGTCCCAAAATGCAAAGAGACCTCACATGAGAAAATACATCACTAAGGTTTTTTCAATTGTTCCTTGATTTTTATGATACAAACCTCTGGACTATCAAATTCAAAGCTTGCCTTTTATTGTAGTCATTTTAATTCAGGTTAGTTTTGTGAGTAAAAATATTAATTAAAATGTAGATGTAAATTGTAAAATAGCTGTAGGTATTGAAACAATATATGTTTTATATATATATATATATATATATATATATCCATGTAGTCTAGGACAGTACTTTTTTGTCCCCAATTTGTAGAGCAGAATTTGTTTAGTGAATCACTTCCCTAAGTGATTGATAATTCATCATGAATTGATTTGATATAAACCGAAAGACATATTTTTGTACTTACAGTGAACTTTAGATATGCTTTTTTTTCTATTGACATTTGTGAATGATTGTTTTCATACAAGTTGTTGTTCAGTCATAATAGCTATCATTGTTATTGAGATACTTGTCTAAACATATCCCAGTTGGTAGTCTCCTCCAAGGGCAATTATATTGTTTCAGAGTCTTTCAAGCCTGAAAGTGGAACTGGTACTTAGTTAATAGTCATCAGGAGGAAGTGAGCAGAGTTGAGGAAATGACCATAAATCATAAAATGGATGATGTAGTAAAGTTTGTTAAATTTATGTATTTTATGTGATCACTATGAAAACAATTGCAACTGTGGATTTTAACTTAGGTCGAATACCTGTATAGACATGGTAGCTGGTCCATGGATGGGTTTGTCATTGATTGTTAGCAGGGTTCAACTTACATGTACTTGTAATGATAAAGTGGGCCAATTGTTCATTTACCTTCCTAAGGTATCAGTATCACTTCCTTGATGAAGAGGGTCATGATCCCGTCACCTGTTTAAGTTTCACAGACAACATCCTGTGGTGTTTATTACATCCCACGTTCTGAAGTACCTTTAGACCTACACATGTGGTAATGAGACACTGTTCGAAGAAATTTCTTGCATTAGCATGTGATAAAGATTTTATCTCGTACACTTTTCTGTAGGAATGTGTGACTTGCTGTATATGAAATCCTGAACCAATGTTGTATCACCTTATTTATACAAAATTGTAGGTTAAAGGGTAGAGTATTGGACCCATTAGTTTTGGGATAATTTGCCATCAGTAGAAATGTGAGTAATGGTATATGCAACTTCCTTGTCCACTAGTCATAGTATGGTTTGAATGGTGGTGGTTATTGTACCTGACTGCTAAGAAAGCATAAATGCTTGTACGGTAAGTAAGCAACCAGACGGCGGACGGCTTTAGGTACTCTCCGAGGGACCTGGTAATGTGGATTAATGCCTTACCAAAGGGCACTAGCGCATCGCCTTTGTTTCGTACCAGGGTCATCGGAGTACGAGACCACTGCTCTACCGACTGAGCTATCGCGCCTCCTCTAACATAGTATCCAGTATACATTTATGTAGGTAGTGGTAATGATGCTTGCATGATTTCACGAGCCAAACCTGTAAATTATTGATCCTGTAATTCATGTTCTGTTCTCACATAAATTTAATGCTCTGAAATTTGCTGATGTTTCTGTATAAATTGCTTTTAAAAGGTAACATTGCACAAGCACGTATGTATTTATGATAATCAAGATCGGTTGTGCATGACTTTCTGACATATGATGACTGTGAAACAGTAATGACAAAAAATGGAAAGTCCTCATTAAAATGAATACATCGATTGGTATTGGTTATGTCATATTTCTGTTCATAGAATTGAAATCTATGTGTCACTTTAATAATCATGTTAGTCATGCCTACCTGGATGAATTGGCAGAGAATAAAAGATGCAAACGAAAGAATGAACAACATTGATGAAGGAGAATTGGAGAGGAGGGAGAGAGAGAAAGGGAGAGAGAGAAAGAGAGAGAAAAAGAGGTGCCGAGAGATGTTTTTTTTTTTTTTTGGGGGGGGGGGGGGTTTGGGGTTGGGGCATCTTTTGGACAATGATTGAAAGGCAGTACCGTTTATTTGAATTGTCACACCATTACCCCCCCCCCCCCCCTCCCACTTTGGAAAAATTAATATAAAGCTAAATTGTTCTTGCTTAAATGAGATACCTCGAATGAGATGAAGATGGACTGAACATATTATAAACGATGCATTTCATTGTGGTTCTATTCAAGATTTTACTCAACACCACCCCCCCCCCCTTCCCCGTGGTTGATCTGCACTTTTGAATTCATCGAGAATAAAATCCACGCATTATTTCAAATTCGATGTGAATATTGCACTTGAGACTAGGAAGTATCAAAGTGTTTAATATGTTATTACCAAAGTGTACCGCGCCAAGAACATCATGAACATGCCCTGTAATACTGATACATGTAACTGATACATATTGACTTAATGACGATCTAGGGAAGGCCCTTAGCATGTATAATGTCCGCGTAGAGATATACAATCTAAACATGGACTTTGATACGTCATTGAGTGGTTCGATAAACAATTACTGAGTGGTTCGATAAACAATTACTGATGAAATATCAACAAATATGATCAACTCAATCAGCTGCATGTGATTAATCCTGTGATCACTGTGGAAATCCATATAAATTGTTTGTTTTAGTTCCTCTTTTGTGTGCCTTTACTATTATACGGTCTTGTTTTATTGTATATTTTGTGCACTATACTAATTCATTGTATTATGTTTTGCATTAGAAATAAAATAATTTGAATATTGAACCTATATTAACTCAATTTCGATACAAGCATGTAGAGGGTGTTTGTTCACATTACATAAATGTAGGTTAAATGTCAGACACTATTCAATCATACAATGCAAAGAATATAAATCGTGATTTCTTCCCATCCCACAAGGTAATACAGTCCCCTAGTCAGAACTAGTCACACATTCTTTTAATTGGAAAGGTCCATTACACAACCAGATAAGAGGAGGAGAGAGGGGGTAAGATCGAATAAAGAGGACAGAGAGTAGGAAGAGATCGATGAGAGACAGAGAGAGAGAGAGAGACAGAGAGAGACAGAGAGAGAGGGCGCGCGAGTCGAGAGAGCAGTGGCGGATCCATGATTTTCCAATAGGGGGGGGGGGGGGGCAGACATTTTAAAATCACGCAGATCAGTTTTTCAACTCAACATCCCAATAATACAGGCAGGGGCGGATCAAGCCGGCGGCAGGGGAGGAGGCCAAAGAGGGGGCCCAATTCATGCGAAAATATTTAGCGGCGAAACAGCCAGCCGGTGAATAAGCGAGGGGAGAGGGGGGAAGGGGTGAGGAGCACTATTTTTTTTTTTTGCCCCCGAAAAAAAATCGCGCCGGCCGAAAATTCGCTCAGTGGGGGTAGGGTAGTGAGGAACACTATTTTTTTTTTTGCCCTCGAAAATTTGAAAATTCGCATCCCCCCCCCCCCCCCCCCTCTTAAAGCCCAGGGGAGGGGGCCCCCGTATCCAAATAAAGGTAACATTTACGTGTTTTTACCTGTTTTTTTCCCCAGGGGAAGGGGGCCCGGCCCCCTCCCTGGATCCGCCACTGAATACAAGGCTGTCAACTTTGGGGAACTGCTTCGAGGGAGGGAGGGACGAAGAAAGAGAGGGAAAGAAACAAGGGGTAGGCCTAGATCAGTTATCGTATATTTCACCCTGAAATAAGTGGAGTAGATGAGACTATGTAGTCTGGATTCTCCTTCAGTGAAGTCGAGTTGACTTCCCGGTTGACATGAGGCGAAGCTGGACATTTCCCATGAACTCGCGTTGCCGAGATCCAGGAGCCCGGTATTTCGTCATTTCGGTTGAGTTGATGCCCGCCCCCCCCCCCCACTCAGTGTTATTTAGGGTACGCATTATGCTCCTTCCCTCTTTTTGAAAGCACCCCCTATCTGAGGACTGCCAACATTTCCGAACCCCCTTTCGCGGGCTTTTTGCGGGCTTTTCCTGCCTTGGAGACCCCCTTAAATCAGGAAAAATGTTCAATGTACCCCCCTAAATTCGGAATAATTTCTCAGGAGTCCAAAGAGATGAGTGAAAAACAAGAAAAAACACCCCCTTTTTAAAGAAATCTCCGGGTGAAAAGTTAATACACCCCTTTTTTTTACAATTCTCGGGCCGGACTTTGTCGCACGAAAAGTACCCCTTTACCGGACATTTTTGGTAACACGCATGGGGTCAATCCGACCCCGGAGTGGTGGGGAGGGGGGCGGGAGTTGATGAGATCAGATCCACGTGCTCTCATTGTCTTAATCTTCCGGTTGTCGTTGAGATCAACTGGATTTGCTTCTCCTCATCATAGCCTACCATGCAAGAAATCGAAATGACGTGCTTCAAACTTTTTTTCCGTTCCTCGTCCCATTCGCGGGGAACGCGAATTGCACATATCCTCGTTATATCATTTGAGTTAACGAGATCAGCGACCGTGGAATTAGTAATCTCATGAAATATTATTGAAGGGGGGAAACGGGAACTCGAGTACTAAAGTCAACTTTTAAAGCAGGCATGTATCCTCATTGTGTCTCAGCCTGAAAAAAAACTCGAGATGGTGAGGTGCAATATTTTCCTTTTCCCTCACATGAGGGGTGTTTCACAAAGACTAAGATCGACTTTAAATTGGACTTAACTATGGCAGGCCATTCATGCCACTAGTTGCTCTCGACATTCCTAGCATAGGTTTATCAAGGGACGTATAAATCGAGGTCACAAATCTACCGAATGTATCTTTTGATAGTTCATTATTGAAGGAAAAAACATTATCTAAAGATCATAATTGAGAGACCAATAGTGAGAGCAACTAGTAGCATGAATGGCCTGCCATTAAGTTCAACTTAAGTCGATCTTAGTCTTTGTGAAAGACCCCCCTGGTCCTCAGGAAAGTCAAGTTGAGGACTCCGACCTCTCATCATCTTCTCGTGAGGCGTCAGCATGATCAGTGGAATTGTGTTGACAACGAGAGCGAAGACGTACAATCTCGTCATCTCATCCTTTGCCGCCATCTTGTACAAGTCAAAGGGAGGATGAGTTGACGAGAGCATGGCGTTTAGCTTAGGGTCTCGTCTTCTTTCATAAATAGTCATGCAAGTACATGAAAAGACGATAAACTTTGGATTCTCGTCATTCTCATCCAGACTGTGCTTATTGAGTCTACCCGACAACACAACTAGGACATCAGTTTTAAGCTTCTCTTCCTCTTATCCCTTAAAAAGTAGAGTAAGGGACGTCAATAGACCATTTTGAAGGAGGATATAAGAATACAATTTGACAAGTTAGTTCAGATTTTTCCAATTTTACCGAAGGGAGTGAAAACGGGTTGTCAGATTTTCATTTGCAGAGGCTACAATAATTTGTTGCCATACAGAACAAAATATCATTAATATTTGCAATTTCACAATGCTCCCCCACCTCCACCTTCGAGTTGACTTCACGATATCAGCATTACCTCGATCAGTCCCTAAATTCTTGCTAATTGGGTGACGAGATTTGCGATCTTGGTTTCTCCTCATTTTTTGCAAACGGATGGTAGAGACAAAACAAAATGTCGAGATCTCATTTTCCAGACGTACTTTTGAAATATGTCCTAATGCCCGCCAGTCTTCAATATTGTAGAGAAAGCAAGGTTCTCGCATTTCATAAGGCAAACAATTTCCTTGGAGTTTTGCAAGTGCACATGCAGTCATAATCTTTTCCCCTTTACTCTTTCGGCCCTAGCCCTGAAGCTTGAAACGTGTTGAAAGTTTGTTTTCAGCGATTGGTTAACATACTTACAAAATTCTTGCGGAGTTCAAGGTGGTCCAATCGCACTTCTCTTCCCCTCAGTTAAACAAAAAAGAAAGAAAAAAGAAAAATTAAGTTATGTCCTACCCCTTACCCAATCTTAAGTTCTTTGCCCCTGTTTGTGTCTGTCTCTTTTGTCCTCTCGCTCTCTCGCTCTCTCTCTCTCTCTTTCTCTCTCTCTCTCTCTCTCTCTCTCTCTCTCTCTCTCTCTCCCTCCGTCTCTATCTCTTCTCTTTCTCTCCTTCAAACAAGGTAAAATGTAGTAAATTTCTATTTTGTTAGTATCATGGCGCGTGCTGTGAGGGCCCCACGGCGTATTATGATTCTAGCGGATCGGTGCCGTCGAAATGAATGGATCGTGAGGTCACTGGTATTAACGGAGGATAAAGGAACAAGGGGTTCCGTTTGGTCCAGTGCTTTTCTCCCATTCAGAGCGAGACTTTCTCTCCTGTGTCTGCCCCCGAATAACAAAAGAGGGGGAGAAGACTTGCCCATGTTTACAGGAGCATAAACCGTTTTGGAGTCTGTCCGCCATTGCAGGTCGTGTTTTCAGGCAGGTCGGGTGACCGTTTTGGGTGTTCATCGGTGCCAAGCATAGAAACTGCATCAACTTTTTGAGTGAGTATAACTTAATTAGATTCAATTCAATTCAATTCAATTCAAGGTTTTATTTCGAAAAACATACAGTACAATGATGCACATGCTGCAGCTAAAAAGCTGAAATGTATGTGTTTACAAGATCAGGGATACATATAAATAGGAAAGAATATCCATTCACAAAACATATCTACATTATCATACAATGAAACCATGACAGATAAAATACTGGTCTGGTTAAAAAGACAACTGTTCATATATACAAATTAAAAAGAAGTTGGGTTTGAAAAGAAAAGCTTAAAACAATCAGCGATTATTATTAAGAAGATCAATAAAATATGGTATTGCACTTTGTTTAAAACGAGAGGTTCTGCATTTATATTGACTATACTTGTGTTTATTTCGTAATGACATGCCAACAATTTTTCGTTCAGGAATCCAGCCTTTGCATTGTGGGTTATTAATTAGAGATTCAGCAAAAACAACACATAGTTTTTCACGCCTTATTTGTAATCGTTCAAGCTGGCATCGTTTCAAAGCGTCTTCATAATTATTATAACTTTTTCCTAAAATGATTTTACATACCCTTTTCTGAATTCTTTCTAAATTCTGTATGTGCTCTAAGGTAAGACCTCCATTAAAAACAGGTGCACAATACTCTAAAACAGGACGAATGTAACCAACATATATTTGTATTAAGTCAGGAATTGGTAACTTATATTGCTTAACCATTCTAAACATGTATAGTTTTCTATTGCACTTTTTTAAAACTTCATTTATGTGGGTGTCCCATTTCAAATTTTGCTGGATGTAGACTCCCAGAATTTTTACAGATTTTAAATATAACAATTGTGAGTCACCAATACTAAAAGTCTCAGGAATAGATGGATTTTTCATGAATGTAATTCTCATTGCAGTACATTTTTTGGGGTTCAGTTTCATGTGATTACTTTCTGTCCATTCTAATAAATTATCTAATACATGTTGTAATATTGATTGTTTCTGTACAGTTCGACCTTCAAGTAAAGTAAGATCATCAACATATTTAAAATATAACAACGATTGATCTTGGCAAGCATCATTGAACATAATTAAGAATAAAATTGGGCCTAACTTCGTACCTTGAGGAACCCCGGCATGGGTGGTTACATATTCAGAAAAAACATTTTGATATTTTACACACTGAGAACGTTGTTTTAAAAAACTTATTATCCAATTTATAATAAAAGGTCTGACATTGAGATCAATCAATTTCCTAATCAAAATATTGTGATCTAATCGGTCAAATGCTTTGGAAAAATCTGTACAAATAAATAATAGATACCACTAATTATTGACATCTCAGAAGTTACGAGAACTAATATCAGTATTTTGCCAACAATATGCATTTGGCGGTCGACAAAATGTACATGTATACTAATATGCACACATTCTCTGAATGCATGATCATCCAGCAGTTTCCTCTATACTGATGGAAAAGACTTCAATGGTGTCATTGATGGGCATCAAGAATACAAACGTAAACCACAGAAGTTACTGACTGGAACTCCTTGCCCGCAAAATGTACAGACAATAAAAAGTAGTATTACAAAAAGAGGTTTTGTTTTGCGTTGTTTGCATGTCCCCCATGGAGATAAAGAATGATATGTTTGGCCTTGTTTTCAAATAATTATGATCAGAATAATAAAAAACCAACCGAACCGAATGATACATGTATATACTCTACATCGTAACACCCACTACTACTTCTCTCCTTCCTCCTACCCTTTCTCATTCTTTCTTTCTTTCCCTCTTTCTTTATGCATTTATTTCTCTCCATTTCTTTTAATTTTTTTGTCTCTCTCTCTGTCTTCCACTCTCTCTTTCGCTAATAATGGCATTTCTTATTCTTTGGTCAAGGGTAGAAAAGAATAGATAGTATGAAACCCCCACTGTTTGCTAGATTTGAAAAGAAAAACCCCCGGGTCTCTTTAGCAAGAATTATGTAACTCTATTTTCCTAGGGACAAAGCCGAGGGGCTGTAGAAGGTTGTCTGTTTATGCCAAAACAATCCCCCTATACACACATAACAGTAATTGATTAGAGAGGGGCGTGGTGTGGGGAAAGGTTATTGGCCTTGTCAAGGATACGATTTCCCCCTAAATTAAGAGTAGGGGCATTACAGGGATACGTTCCGATCAAATATAATTATTTTCTATTTCAAACATCAAAATGGAGATAATTGGTTTCTTTATGAGACATAACCGGGATGGAAACACCCCACTCCCTTGAGAATTCTCAAATTACCAATGTTCGGGCAATTACCACCACCTTGTATTCAGAAAATCTCGATTCCATTTTGGGTACCTGCTATCTCCAGTCAGGTATAGTAACGAGATCTAGTTGTATTTTTTTTTAAACATAATTTTATGGTTCATGAAGTCGACAAGATTACTAAAAAGTCTCACTAAAATAAATTGTCATAAAAAAAAAGATCTTTTAAAAAGCAACCCTCTAGCGTTACATTGAGAGTCAAGTGAGTGGAGCACTATACCACTTCATCTCCACATCATTCTGATGTATGGAAATATTGATGATGCCAGCTGCCACGGTCATACAACTATCATCATGATCAAAATTGATTGAAAAGAACGCGCCTTCATGCATGCAATCGTTGCATCGACTATGTCAATGCGTCATGTTTCCATGGTGACCCTACTGACCTAAATGTATAATTCAGACTCATGGCTGCACTTTGTTTTGCATGGCAGATATACCATTAAGTTATTGTATGGTTTCTTCAGTATGAAACCTACAAAATAACATCCATTCTAGGCAGTTACAGGAATGAGGACTGATTGTATTAGTCATTACCATTTCGGCAAGCAGACATACGGATGTAAGCGATTTATTATTTTGTAAGTGGATATCATTCGTACGGTTTTCATCTCACTTATCAGTCAATGTTTTTCTTGGTCGGTACAAGACTGAATGAGATGCTATTCCTTTTTAATTATCATTTGTATTTTATAATGCGATAAACATTTGTAATGGATGCAATAACAATGTGAATAGCTTATATATCGATGTTTAGCATGCAGTCAACAAAAACAAGATGAACGAGACTTGCATATAAATCCACATACTGTACCGTGATTGTCAACTGGTTTTGATATGGCACATGAACTGTATTTGAAGAAATGCTAGAAACCCTGAAAATTTTAAGACACATTTAATAATGCATATAAATCATCATGGTGTAGCTCTATATAGGGCACTTGCTTAAATCGAAATGCAAAAATCGAGAGAAAGAGAGAGGGACAGAGGAGATGATGATGAGGGGTAAGTTGGGGTCAACATTAGTCTAAAAATTGTTGTTGTTTTATTTTTTTTATTCATGAAACAGATTTGAACAGATCTTGAGAGAGTGATCAGATTCTACGCGCCATGACAGTGAACGGAAAATCTTGTTGCAGGGCCGTGGGGCGGGTCGTACCACGACTGATCCTCATCCTCGCCTACATCTTCTATCTCCTCTTCGGCGGTCTGGTCTTCTCCATGATCGAAGGTCCTCGGTACAATCAACTCGTGGCCGAGGAGGCAAGCAATGTCAAGATGGCCAAGGAGATGCTCATCGAGGCCTACGGAAACAACACGAACATGGATGAAGTCATTGTCAGACTCAAGACCCTGGTGTACGCCATTGAACATCCCGGCGAGATGGAAAGTTATCATAACAAGACAGTGGTGCTCGGAGAGGAGTGGACTTTTGGTAACGCCATGCTGTTTTGCATGACTACTATTTCGACAATTGGTAAGACATACATCACATCAATGTACTTTTTAAAGAATACAGATCTCAAGTAATTGCTCAGCTTGGGTGGATCCTATTGTCTTTAAACTCGTCGTCATAGTCGAAAGCTATACGGCTTCATGTCATTATAGCATCAGCTTTTCTTTGTATCAGCAGTCCTTCAAACGTTCCTGTTTGTATCAAAATACGGTTTCCTGCATCTTATAAGGCCGTCCTGTGATTTCCATCCTAGTTTACAATGTTAGTGATTCGGCCGTTATGAAATGCTAACTAGACTTGTTAGAAATATTATAGTTGTGTGATTTGTGTCAATCCTAAATTCATGTACGTATTATAGCAGTGTCAGAAGTTTTATCAGATAATTCTGGAAGTAATTACAAAATCGTTCCACTGTTCTGTAATAGGTATATATATTTTTATGATCCTTTGCAGGATATGGTCATCTTGTTCCTCATACATTTGTTGGGACTTTCCTCTGCATCGTTTACTCCAGTATCGGAATCCCCCTAACAATCCTTCTCCTTGCCGACCTCGGTCGCCTGTCAGCCATTTCCATCATGAAAACGTTCAATAAGTTGGCAAAAAAATGCTGCAGGTGTGGTAAGAAGCGCGGCCTGGAGCGACGAAACAGCATCCGACGAAGATCCCAAATCCCCCCAGAAGCCGATGGCAGCGGTGGGATGGAGTCCGATGGAGAGAACAACCGAGAGCTAGATCTGACCGAGGTCAATATTTCTCCTGATGATGAAGTGCATAGGTCAAATGGGGCTGACAACCTACATGTAGACGAACCCGTAGTCGAGGTAGTAAACTGCGGGCACGAAGGCGAGATCGACGACGACGAACTGCTGAACGACGTCCCCATTTTCCTGCCTCCTATCATATTCTGGAGCTACATCGTCTTCACCGCTCCCGGATTCGGCATGATCGAAGGTTGGTCCTTCCCCACGTCCCTCTACTTTCTCTACATCTCTGTCACCACCATCGGGTTCGGTGACATCGTACCGAGATCCTCAATTGGTCTGGTCTTCGCTTGGACGGGTCTGTTGGTCACGTCGACATGCGTCGCTCTCTCGTACCGCAAAATCATCAAAGTGGCCTCATGGGTTGTAGACTTTCTTGATTCACTGGTCAGTAGGGAACGTATTCGGCAGAGGGATGCCCGCTATTCTAATATCGCGATTTAGATTAAGAGTCGGAGGTTATAATACAAGGTTTGGTAATTTTGTTGTCGTATTGATTTTTTCATTTTCATCCACTCTTCTCGAACATTATTCTGGGGGTCATAGCTTCGCGTATAGTACATTGATTTCAAACATACTTTTTTCTTCTTTTTTTCAAACGAATCCTTTTAAGATTTTAAGTTTTTAATTTTTAATTTTTACCTCGCAAAGGTATGTTTTTTAAAACTGTATGATGTTGGTTCAATTGTCACCGAATTCAATGGCTAAAACAAAACGAGCTTTGTTCAATATTATTGTATGCAAAAGTGTATTTGTAAATAACTGTATGATATCGGTTTTATCGTTACCAAATTCAATGGCTAAAAACACGAGAATGCTTGTCATTTAAAAAACAGTGTCCAATCCCTTTTATTCAAAAGTTCATTAGCCTCTTGCCTGAGGCTCTCCAATCTGATAAAATGTGATAGTGTGAATGAATTAAAAACTCTGTCAATTTCGGAAATTATGGCTTGGGATAATGTTCATTTGATGCATTGTTTACCTGACCTATATATCTCATAAATTGACCTGAAAGAATTGTACAAATTGTAAAAAATTAATTGCTCTTGTAGCTCTTCTTTAGGCATTCATACTAGTATATACTCTTTGTATATCAGTTGTAACCATCATTAGAACCGTAATGGTGACGTAATAAACATGTATAGCAGTGAGGTATTGTTCTGTTATCTATTTAATGATTACTCTGTCACAATATAATTGTGTAACTTTTTAACATGGTCATTTTATTGGCAATGAAATTGAATGAATAATAATAAGAAGGATACTTTTCTTACACATTTTTAAAAATGAATAATATTGAGAACGATTTTAATTTCTCATAGTGGCAGCGATGGAAAGGATGGTGTTAATAGAATCAATAGATCAGTTTCTGCACATCTTTTTATCTGTTTTGTTTGTTTTGTATTTGCCTTCTTTCTACAATGAAGAACACAGTTTGGTATGTTATAATCACCTCTTGACTGAATGTTCATCTTAAATATCGTTCCGCACCTGTTATTTTAACTATTGATGTATTTAAAAATGCTTTAATTTGTTATTATTATTCACGCTAATATTGTGGGAATGTCTCGTCTCTAATAACACTAACTGGTTTTCATCAAAGGAAAGAGTGATCACTGAGTATGGAAGAGAAAAGGATATCATAATAACAAGAACAATAAACTTAACTAATTATGATTTGTTGTTGTTGATTTAATCAATACTTATTTAATTCATAATGAATTTTAGGCAGCAAAAAGGAATCAGGTGATAATTCGAATTAACCTTATGCATTTTGTTCAAAGTGAAACACTGTCAAATGCGTTTTAAAGTATCCCCAACATGTTTGTTATTAATATATCAAAAATATTCCTGTATATTTCTGTATATAGCAGTCTCTATCTTTAAGATTTCTTAACCGATTTTTTTTTGTACTCAAGTAACATATTCAAACCTATCGTGTCGTTTTCATATCAGAGTTTCAGGGTCGTTGTGTCTACAATCATGACAATTACAAATGTTATTTTTGTAAAGTGATACAAACATTAATGACATGCAATTTAAGTTTGTTAGAATGTAGGCTACGTTCATCCATATACGTCATAAATGATAGCATGTCGGACATGGGTTTCACAAAGTCTGGAAAAATCATAGTGAAAGCAAGCAAGCAGTTACGCCTGCAATGCAAAGGAATTCTTTTTAATATAAAAGCTTTGACCAAATGACATGTTATCCGTGTATACCGTCCTATTGATGTTTAGAACGTCCACTCTTTTAATAAAAGGAAATTTTCATAACGCCATATCATGTTTTATTAAATCGTGTTTGCACCTCTAACACCTATATAGTGTAGTGCCTCACTCATAATTAGGTGACTGATATAAGCGGCTAAATCATAATCACCGGCCAAGTAATCATCTTAACGACTATGTTTCACTCTCGATCTATAATTGCTCATTAAATAGATTGTATGCACAACCTATCAACTCTTAAAATACTTTCACTCTCGTGATCTTAAAACGGGGTAGTTGCCAAAAGTTGGTAGAGGGGATGGTGGGAGCAACCATTTTGTCGGCAAACTACAGATTAACTGCGAAAATAATAATAATAATAAAAACGGTGCTTAGTACCGAAGTCTCTGAGCACTATTTTTTTGCAGATTTTCCCAATTTTATGTCGGCAAATGAATGCAGTCAGAGTAGCTTTTCGTTCATTTTCCAAAATTGAATGAAACAACCTTTGTTCTTAGTGAATCTTATCCATTTCAGCGATCCTACTTTTATTCGTTCATAATTATGCTTCCTCAATCAATTTAGGCTTAGACTTTAGGAAGACTTTATTTTTGTTTTAATAATCGAGGATCTCCCCCCATACAACCTACAATGTGGTCCCACAAAGGTAACCTTAGTTTTAAAGGTCATTTTTAAACAAAAAACTATACAATTCAATATCTTAAATGTTAAACAGAGGATAAGAGTAACTTTTCCACTTTCATTCCGCACATTGTTTGCATCATCAATGTCATGTATTACTGCGTTAGGTACTCTTGCATATAAGTGCAAAACACACTTTTCCCTTCGAAATCGTAAGTTTGGAAAATCAATGTAAAAAGGAATGCACCTTGGAATAATGAAAACGTGTTTAAAAATTCAGGAATGAGTTATATATTCTTTTACCTTATATTTTTCTAAGCACCAAGACATTCAACGTACGGTCCACCTCCCCTCTCGGCACCAGCCTACAACTACTTTACATGTCCTGGACAGCTCTTCTCAACATTTGCTATTGCCAGTAAAGTTTAAAACCACACTCCATCCACCTGACATTACTGAATGTTGAGTGCATACCCGACATTGCAGCACCAACACACACCCTGTTACATAACAATGCACTCATCCATGCATGCCTTTTGTCCGGAATGCCTTCAGCAATTCAGGAAGTCAACGAAATTTGGAATGGATACAAATTGTTATTGAAATGAAATGGGCGTTATCGTTGTTTGGAATGTGTAATTCGAACCATAACATGTGAAAAAGTGGGCTTTTTAGTTTCTACCGGCCACCTTCAAGAGAGTCTAACTCGGTGATAAATGATGATGGCAACAAGGTGGCAAATGAAAGCTGTTCTTCTTTTTAACATTTAAGATAAGAATTTTAGTGTTTTTTAATGTTGACCATTCACCTTCGGTTATCATTTCAAAGGAACACCTGCTATCTCCATTGCCCCATGCAGCACCCCCACTTAGTCACTCACCCCCTCATGATCAGTTATGAACAACACATATCAAATACAATATCTTGTTTTTGTTAATACTACTTTTTAATCTATGCATAAAGCACTATACAATTTGCATACATGTACATCACAAATTCGTACATCTATCTACAGTCATAAACACGAATGAACAAAGGAATGTTTGATTGCACGTTGTCACTATATCTTAAATACCTTATGAAAATGCATTTCCCTACTTAAAATGCACAAACACACTATAAATATATACATATGTATACATCACAAAGGATCAAACATGCATGTAAAACACAAAAGCAGTTTTTAACTTAAAGTAGTTTACAAACACTGTATTTTGAGTAACAACTATTTAAAAAAAAACCAGATGATTCACTTTTACATTAAATGGTTGCAAACATTTTTAAATGACTGCATATGATGAGATTTTTAAAAAAATGATAAGAGAACATCATACCATTTTTACATATTCAAAAAAACACAATTTCCATATGCAATGCAATATGGTAGTCAACTGCCCTGTAGGAAATTGTGACCATTTAAATTCAAATATCAAGACACAAGCATGACAAGAGGCTCTTATGTAAAGACACTGAAACCAATAGGTAACAAAACTTTGAGGGGGATCACATTTGGACTTTGTGTCCACACCGTACATGTAAAACACCACTTTTCAAAAAATGAGAAATAAGTATGCAAATGCCTGTACAGTTATCAACAGGCAGGACAAACATGTTACATGTAAAGTTAAACTGGAAATGCTGTACAGGTAAGTTAGTTTATTAACATAATTCTGAATGGGTCGATATTTCTTTCTTATGATATCAACACTACAAGACAATACAAGGTGATATGAAACAAGATCTTCAGATAGAAAACAGAAAGAATAATACTTAGAATTAATCATATTAGCAATATCCCTGAGAATTACTTAATCACTGTGGTATAAACATCTGCTCTATGAATAGAGGTAATCAATATCTAACATGATCTCAAGGTGATTATGGAATACACATCAAATGCGATCCTTCCTGAAAAATGGTAACCTGCTCTTACATGTAGGTCAATACAAATGGGGAAAAGGCAGGCAGTGCTCTAAACAAGGAAGTGAACGAGTGAGATATTTGATGATGATAAGTACAATAACAGGAGCGAGTAAGTGTGAGAAATGATGAGCAGTGTGGGAGAGGGGGAGATAGATAGAACATTAAAATCTACTTCACCAAGTACTGTTATAATAGGACTATTGATCATGCTACTGTACATGTCCAAGTTTGTTTCACAAACGAGGTATGTGCTCACATGAGTCTTTGGTAATAACATAACATATAACAATTGAATAGAAACAAGCATAACAGAAACTGAAACATTACCTTTTAGCTAATATTATGTACCCCCCCCCCCCTAATTTATCCTTGAATCACCAAAATTAGTTTTATACCGTCAGAATGCACATACAAGAAGATTGTTATTAATTCTAACAGATGTATTTACATAAATATAATTGGAAAAAATAAATGTACTTGTCACATGCATTTTTTTTTTTTAAACAAAATTAAAAATATTTGGCACAAATTAAAAATCTATTTCAAATCCATTTCTACCCCAAAAAAGATGTTTACACTATGTTGATCATCTTCTGAATATATGGTGTCTTACATTTGACACCCCTCCCCCCCCCCCAAAAAAAAAGAGAAAACAAAATCATTCTACTAGCTGTTTTCCTCCCCTTCCTGCATAGATATATTGTGCTTTAAATATCCAGGGAACACAATTATCAAACATGATGTGATTGTCATACTTTTTAATATCGAATGTCTCCACAAATTAATTATGAACAGTCTTTCTAATAAATAGTTCAATAAATTAAAAATTACATGTCAACGTGCATCTATACTCATTCATAATTTCATACAAATGTGAATACAGTATTTCTCTACATTGAATACCCAATATATATGCAGCTTTATACAAATAATTACATATAGAATTCTACTCTTTCAGAATTTTCATACTGAATCCATTTTGATAAGACATGCAATATTGTACAAAACATTTACAAACACACAAGCAAATATGTTCAGCCATAATATACTCTTCCCTGAAGACGACTTTATCAAATTTTTTTAAACCCATGAGTAATGACATTCCAAGACCCTCCAACCAGCATCCCCACCCCAAAACCCCTGAAGTACAGTAACTGTTAAATGACAGTATGACAAGAAGGTTTTGAATATTGTATTTGTGTTATGATACAAACTAGATGGAATTCGACTGCGCGCAGTCGAAAATGATGCCTCCGTCATAGAGCAATTTTACAAACCAAAACGGAAGAAATTTTTCAAATTCAAGTTCAATTGTAATCCATTAACAGGTTCTCAGAATATCGTGATTACAAACAATTTCTCATATACATATATGACCCTTTGAACTTTGACCTCATGATCCTAATATCTACTCAGCTCATTGGCTCTGCAAGATATCCAGAGTTAAATAGTAATCCATCTGTCAGTTCTAATGAGAATGCGTTCACAAGCTATTTTTGCATACATAATGAGCCCATGACCTTGGACCTTATGAACCAAGAATCTACACAGTTCATTGGCTCTGCAAGATACATAAATGATCTAAGTTTGGCAGGAATCCATCAATCTGTTCTAATAATAACGCGATCACAAGCTGTTTTTGCATACATAATGGGCGCTGTGACCTTTGACCTTTGACCTCGTTACCCAAAATCTAATAAGTTCATCGGCTCTGCAAGTAACATACATGACCTAAGTTTGGCAGGAATCCATCAATCGGTTCTTGAGATAACGCGATCACAAGCTGTTTTTGCATACATAATGAGCCCTGTGACCTTTGACTTTTGACCTCGTGACCCCAAAATCTAATCAGTTCATTGGCTCTGCAAGATACATACATGACCAAAGTTTGGCAGGAATCCATCTATCGGTTCTTCAGATAACGCGATCACGAGCCGTTTTGCATACATAATGAGCCCTGTGACCTTTGACCTTTGACCTCGTGACGCCAAAATCTAATCAGTTCATCGACTCTACAAGATACATACATGACCAAAGTTTAGCAGGAATCCATCAATCGGTTCTTCAGATAACGCGATCACGAGCTGTTTTTGCATACATAATGAGCCCTGTGACCTTTGACCTTTGACCTCGTGACCCCAAAATCTAATCAGTTCATCGACTTTGCTAGATACATAAATGACCAAAGTTTGGTAGGAATCCATTGATCCGTTCTTCAGATAACGTGATCACGAGAACGGGACGTACGTACAGACGTACGTACAGACGTACGGACGGACGGACGGACGGACGGACGGACGGACGGACGGACGGACAACCCGAAAACATAATGCCTCCGGCTACTTCGTAACGGAGGCATAAAAAGTAACTCACAAAATGTACATTAGTGACATTTGAAAGGTACTGTTCTGACTCAGTGGCAATTTTGTTCAATTCTGGCACCTTGGTTTTGTTCACAACTTTATACACAAGAGAATCCAATCATTACTTCTTTCTATTTTCCAGATTAGAGAGAAAAATATTATATAATTTGTCAATATTTGAGAGCATTTATTAGAAAGAAACAATATTATTCTCTTATTAGATAACGTTTAGGTGATTTCAGCTTTTAGTAGACTTCAGTACGAACAACCTTCTTTCTGGTAGGTGATAGAGTGCGTGTCCCTGACCTGCTCATCCTGGTGTTCCCGGCAAGGAGAGTGGATGACTCATGGTAGCCTTGTTTGAACCCTCTCTCCATGTCTGTCAGGGTATTCTCCATCCCAAGACTGGTGATAGCATGTGAGTGATGCGCCTGGATCACCTTCTCAAGCCTGGCGATGATCTCATAGTCAGGAACGGCCAGGACGGCAACATCCATCCCCAGCATCCTGGCGATGACCTGTCTGAAGTCCGTCAGCTGCTGATCTCGACGTTGGATGTCGGACAGCAGCAGCTTGGTGGCATGGAGCTCCTCGGTCATAGAACCCATGGAATGCTCGGAGCGGACCTTGGTCTCGTTGGCCTCATGCTCGGTGAAGTCCAGTTCTTGCTTCATCCCGGCAAGCTTACGAGCTTGTTTCTCCTTGATCTTCTCCAACTTCTCTACTATCTTCTGCAGCTCTTCTATGGTGGCATTCTGGTGCATCGAGGAGAGCTAAAACATGAAAAGAGGGGAGATACAGAATATGAAATACAAGGCAAAATAGGAATGCAATCTTCAATTATTGTATTTACATTTTCATTTTTCATTATCACGTTATTGTTATACATTGTTAGTTAAGTAATTCGTCTAAATTAAGCGCATTGTTCATTTCACGTTTCTTGTTGATCCTCATTACATATTTAGTTTAACCATACTTTTCATTTCACTTGTTTTGTAAAGCGCTTAGAAACTGTATTTGAATACCAGCGCTATATAAATCTTAAATAATATTAATATTATATTATTCAATGTAATGAACCATCTGGCCTTAAAATTGCCTCACTGGAACTATAAATTCATGCTACACTTTTCTCACCTTATCTTGGATAAACAAAAATAAAACATAACTACAATAAATTGGACGAGGATTCTACCAATAATCTGATGTCAAGATTTGGCTGACATCTTCTACTAAAAATTAATCTTATTGTATGAAAGATGCTCCACTGACGATTTCTCCAGTCCATTTTTAATCCAAGCCGAATTCCTAACTTCAACTCTAGACTCAACATTTACATAATTCTATAACCCCAACCCGGTATCTAACCTTATCCTAATTACAACCTACATTGTAATCCTATCCCCACATCTTTGGTGATATATTCTTTTTCATTTGAGTGTGTAGTTGATTTGATATGCTACACCAAACTGCTATGATCTGTGTTTTACACATTTTTACTTTTCATCTCTGTGACCTAGCACTCCAATGCTAATGAAGTAAATGAACATACAATGTATATCATATTATCACAATACCTGGAGAGAATATCACCAAAGTATGGCTTTACTCACATATGACGCAGTAAACCATTGTGTTTTTTCATGATGACGTAAATTTAATAAGTGTAGTACGCTTTATATTTGTGTATCTTATGACACAGAGCTCAGTGAATTTGCATAGGACTTTTGTTCCGCGAGGTTATCATTCATTTACACATTGTAAAAATGAATGGTTTACAACTATTTTTCCGAATGAGCCTTCAATGTCTGATCATGCACTCACCTTGATGTTGCTGACATCCATCATCTCTGCCTTGAGCTCCACCACAATCTTCTTAGCACGGGCCAGCTCCGAACGGAGCCTGTCGTTCTCATTGCCTAGCTTCTTGTAGCTCCACTCCATCTCCTCCTTGTCCTTCTGGATGTTGGAGCGTCCCATCACCCCTTCCTCCAGGTTAGCCACCTTCTTACGCATGAGATCCAGGTGAAGGTCCTTGCTCTCCAGCTGTTGCTTCAGGGTCTTGACCTGATGGTGATGGGAGGGAGCATATTTATTTATTTTATTTATTATTTATTCAGCACTTTCAAGAAATACAACAATAATGCAATATAATCATGGTGATTACAAAATTAGAATGACAAAAATTATTGTAAAATTTTTGTAGCGATATTCTGAGTGCAAAAGATGACAGCCAGGGAAGAAAAGAGCAAACTCAATCACTGTAACCGTAATAGCCCCTCCACCCAACCAACTGATGCACTCAGAAGATTGGTAAAAATATAGCATAAGAACAAATAAAGAGAATAACATAGATCAAAATCAAGGTGACTTGAATGACAGCGACAAGTATTGACTTATGGAAAAATAACTTCAACCTGCATGGCATGAAAACAAGGGTATTTGAATATATGCTGCAACCTACTAACAATCACAACAGGAGGATATTTTCAGTGTAAGGTAAAAGTTGTTTTATTTCACTGATTGAACAGATTTTAGTGTAAAATCTGTATAATTGCAGATGCTTCTAATATTATAGGTTGGTGAAATTGTGCATGAAATACAACACTGAATGTGTGGATTTTACTTACAGGTACATATACAAAAAAAAAAAAGAGAATGATTTTTAAAATGCTATACCACATTTCCCCCCTCTCAGGAGGATAAAACTCAGTTAGAATTATACAGATAAAGGGTAAGAAAACATGTTCAGCTACTCTCTCACCTTTCGTTGGAGTGTATAAACATGAGTATTCTTGTCGGCCAGGACACCACCCTCTCTACTGGCAAGCTGTTCAGCACGTGCAAGGAGTGCCTCACCATTCATATCAAAACCAACATCCTTGCAGACAGCATCCATGTTCATAACATTTGCCAACCTCTCCAGGAATGCCATGTACTGAAAGATACAAATGGAAGACAAGTATTACTATTTGTATCTTAATCAATGTTAATTTGTTCTAACTAAAAACACAATACACTTTTCAAAGTGGAGCACCTTTTTTTAATTTTCTCAACAGATTTAGAGTTTTTTTTTCTTCTTTCTTGTCAAATGATTATCTGCAAGGAAATCAACATACATACTGTACCAATCCAATACTAATAAGAGTTTTGTGTTGCACATTCAAAAGTCACAGGCATGTGGAATATGTAATTATAAGCATGCACAATATATAGAAAGGGTAAAGTTGAAATTGAAATTCTGTTTCCTACTATTTCATATAAAGGACAACTGGATGGAGAACAGGTGATCTTAAATATTGTTCACCTCTTATTTACTGGTACTTCACAACTTCATATGTAAACAAACACACTCAAATTTCACAAGAGTGATCAACTTGCTTTCTTTAACCATGCCAATGCGATCTAACATATAGATCTAGGCATTTGCAACTAATGTTCTTGGGCTTCTGATGAGCTTAAGGCCAGTCCACCTAAAGTCCACCTAAAGCAGCAGTGGTTAGCACAGTCAAAGAAACTCACCTTCTGTCTCTCCGTTCGTAGGTTGTCCCTGAGGGCATCGCTCGAGGCCAGTCCACCTTCCAGAGTCCGGACCCTGTCCTTGTAGTCATCGAAGCACCCCTCGGCCTCCCTGGCCCGCCTGATGGCTGCCTGGTGAAGGTTGGCTTGACTTTCAAGCTGCTCAGAAAGTTGTCTCACTTTGCCTCCCAGTGCATCTACATGCTGTGGGTGAAAAGAAACAAAGAAACATTTAAAAATGAAATCTTGCATCAAAGAATGATGTATTGTACTTTCTTTGGAATTGTTCAACTCACAACCTTCATCATTGGAAGACAAGATTGATTGAAGTGGAATTATCGGTCATGTACATAAAAGCATACCCTTCCTATAATATGCTTGATAGAGATGGATGGACATTGACTATTACTATTAACACTTCAAATACTTTATTGAGAAAAACAAAGGATAAGTTTTCAGCAGAGAGCCAACTTAGGATTGATGTCCTTAAAGTACATGCAGATGACCTTACAAAATAATGAACAAAAGGCTTGTAAAACATAGCCATAAAACAGATTGAAATTGAGACATTGAAATGATAAAACAGGAAGAGAAATTTATAACTGTGTAACTTACCGTGTTATTCTCCCTGGAGGCGATCTGAAGAGCTTTGATTCTCTCCTTGATAACATCATCATGCAGCTGGCAGTTGGAAGTTCCCTCCGAGAGCAAGAGAGCCAGGGACTCCTTGAAAGACTTGAGTTCCGTCTTGGCCACCTGGGAGTCAAACTCGATAGTCTTGAACTCTTTGCTGAGGTGTGATAACCTAGCCTCTCTCTCCTCCAGCTCCTGCTTGCGATTAGACCACATGCTCTGGCTTGCATCCAGGCGCTCACGGAGAGATCGGTTCTCAGCATCCAGGTGGTTTCGATCTCGGGTAGCAATGTCACGTTCCTTGGGTTCAATGGGGACAGAAGTACAAATTGTTTGAAGGACAGTTCTTTGAATGATTTTCAATTAGGGTTGTGATGGAATTCAATAGTGAGACTGCAATAACAATTAGTCTCAATTACACAAAAATTCCATTCTAGGGTGTATCAATTGAATTAGAATCTTGACTAACTGTCAGCATTCCCTGCCAGCACAGATCTATGAGTTATAGGCAGCATAGACCTATATTTTCCTAATTCCTATATTACTTGAAGAGACAGACACTTACCATTTTCAACTTTTCCACTGAGGTAGCCTTCTCCACGTAGGTCTTCTGTTCTCGTTCAATCTCTCCCACCAGTCTCTGAATGGTCTCTCTGCTGGCCTTAGACTCAAGCTCACTGCCGTTCAGGGCTTCATTCAATGTGGAAAGCCTTCCTCGCAGCATGATGTTCTCCTGGGCAAGGTCATTCACCTATCACAACATTTAAACAAAATTATATGATTGTTTTCTTCAAAATTTTAAAAGCTTTTGTTATATATTGCACATTTATCATAGAATTATTGGGTAGACAAGAAACAAAAAAATCAGGCCAAATGAACATGGGAGATGGAATAGAAATGATTTACATCTTGATTTGTATACTAGTATTTTAAAAGGATCTTGAGTTGAAAAAAACATTGTATAAAAGGACTGTATTGTTGAAGGAACCACTCACAATAAAGTATCATATGTTTAAGTCTGCAATAGCAAGATACTGCGAAACCAAAACTTGTAAATATTTGAATTTTGTAAACTTCTTGGGCACTCTCTGAGTGAATATGTTGCACAATATAAATGTCTCTATTATATTAAAGTCAGGCTTTCAAAAGCTTTATGCTATAAAATCATTGATTCAACAGTCAATTTTTGCGGCTAGATTAGCGTCCTTAACTAAAATTGTTGGTACTGAGGTAGTCTTTACTGTTGACTAACCTTGTCTAGCATCTTCTCAGGAGAATCACTCTCCAGCTTGATGGCTCCCCTCAGCTGCAAGAACACCTCATCAAACTTCCTCTGCACCATCCTTGACTTCTGTTCCGAGTCCTCCCGCTCCGTGGTCAGGTCCCGGATCCTGGCCTCCAGCTCCAGTATCCTCTCCGCCTGGGCACTGGACTCCTTCTGGAGTGCATCGATGGTGTACCCGCCCCTGGCGTGCGCCCCCTCCAGGACCCCACTCTGGTTGCTGAGGTCACCCACGCGATCCCTCAGGGATTGGATGATAGCGAGGTGCTGGGCTGCATCGGATTGCTGGTGCTCCAACTGGGAGCTGACTTCTTTCAGCTGGAGTTCACGAGCAGCAATCTTGGCCTGAGCCTCAGCGAGCTATTTAAAATTGAAGAATTAAAGAAATCAAATGAGACTAGCAATAATGCCTTCAACAAGACGATTGCGAGTTGGTGTCAACACTCAGCAGTGTCTGAATGAACAGCAGAAGTAGTACACTATTTTTTACAATAACCTGTATGATGAATCTTCATACCATATGTAGCGGCAAGACTAGTTTGGTAATGACCTTCTACAGAGGCAGGGTTAAGAGTAAACAAACTTGACCTCAAACTTGACCTTTGTGCTCCTAGTTTCGATGACGGCCAGTAGAAGGTATGTGTCATAAGGGCGAGGCATCGCCCAAAGAATAAAACAAGAGAAAGTAGATTCAGAAGTTGCAGTATATTTAGAAGAAAGCAGTCAAGGAATAGTATTCCTCCCAGTAAATTGTGAAAGTCCCCAGGATTGCAAACAGTTGGTAAGCTAAAATTACATTATTAATAAACTTTATATCTGTGCTGTCATTTATACCATAATACTTGGTTGAATAACTTATTCATATTTCTGTATTTCAAGCTCAAAGTAGAGTGATGGAATTTGGCACTTTGCTCTCCATCAAGCATTGTACTGCATATACTGTACATGTATACTTATACACACACATTGACAGTGATAGGCGTTAAGTCAGATTCAATCGATGTGCTATATACCAAGAGATATACTCTCTATCTTCCATGTTATTATTATGTGCTTATGTTCAAAGGAACCCTTTATTGGTTTGGTTGATTGATATAACAATATTAACTTTGTATTCACTATCTAAGAGTGAGATACATGGTCATTCACACATATATTTGTTGCCAATCAGTATATAACACATCAGCTATATTGTGTTTGGTTGTTGGATGATCTCTGCGCCTAAGCATGGGATCCTTAGTAGGTTATTATAACGTTGTAAGGTTGTATCAGTTTATCATTTACATATTTAGTGTTGTTGTTATGAATTAGTCACGAATCACATATATGATCCATCATTACCGCAAGACTATTAGATATATTCAGATACTTATCCTGATAATTAATACAGCCATTTAAACACTGATTTGATAAGGTACAGTTGTTCATGGAATAACAATTATTCCATTCAATTATGAACAAAATTACATGTCATTGATTTCCTTGTATGTATATACATTCATATTAGTATAGTTGAGACTAATTCTTTGTAGGCATATATTGAAGTTATTAACTAGATAGTCAGTCATGTTTGATTCATTTTATTGTTGACAATGAATATTAACACTGTATTTGTGTTTATTTGTTTGTTTAGCGAACCGCTGGTCGCTAAGGCTCTGTTGGCCGTACTTCGGTGTCCGGTTGTTGATCTCTGGTCATGATTAGTACGGAAGAAGTTGAAGAAAGGAATAAACAGACTAGAAGTTAAAGCTACTGTTTCAGGACTCTTCAATCAGCGTGTTTGAACTTAAGCAATTTGAGAATATCACTGTAGTCAGATAAGATACTACACCATACATACGTACATGCATGTACTTGCTCAAAAACACATGCATCAAGATTAATTTAAAATAATTTCTGAAATTAAATCTATATGTTAAGACATTTGCTTTAACGGTTTTAAATGGGAATGACATTTTCTTCACAAAAAATTAAGATTTTTTAGATTGATAACGGTTGCCTATGGCATCACCATTGTATAAGCACACTACATAGAGGTTAGAGACAATTTATTAATATATTCCTTGTCATTCTTACCTCAGTTTCGAGTTGTTCATTTTTGAGATGCAGAATAGCCAAGTCTCTCTTGGGCGCTGCTTCTGCTTGAAACTTGAGTTGTGAGAGCTTAGAAGATAGTATGGAATCTGAGTACATACGGCTGGACTGTGGGAATGAAAAAAATATACATGTACAGAATTTTAAGAATTTAATATTATGCTTCTTGCTACTCTTTACTCTACTGAGCTACAGATAAAGATACCCTTTATAATGAGTTGCACTTTTTATACTTTTATTTCACCTAGATATCCATCAATAATTGCTGTAAAATAGATTATGGATAGCCAACATTCACATGTAACAATTACAAACATCTAAAGTCCTTTCGTCAAAAGAAGTCTTTCATTTTGGTTTATAAATAGCTACGGTATGTTAAATGACACTTCTTTCATTTAAAATAAGGAATTAGAGACAAGCTAAGACCAAAGTATTACTGAACAGCCATCTACATGAAAGTAGTAATCATTTCATTTTTGCAATTGAAATACTTCGTGGATTCAAAATACCATTAAATTGTTTTGACACCTGAATGATCAAAGGATATGTATTCTTCTATATTGCATCATTTAAATATACTTTTTGTTATAACCTCCTTTCATAAGTACGTGTGCATATTTCTTACCTTGTCTTCAAATGCAACATGTTTCCTGTGTGCCAAGATGTCACCTCTGAATAAGAAAAAAATAACATTAATAAATATAAGAATACTGAAAATTAAATAATTGATTTTTTTTTAACTTATCAAGACAGCTCTATTCTATTTATTATCAGAGCATGTTTTCTTATTTGTCTTTCTTTGTATAACTGTATAGGGTAAGTTCTCTCTGTTTCAGAATAAATTGAATATGCATATACATGTATACAAAACACTTTAATATTTTCAAAATATAGATTATCCCAGTCATAAGTTCAAAACCTTACCTTGATAAGTCTTGAATGAGTTTGTCTTTCTTTTCTGCTTCTGTTTTGTACAGCTTGACTTGTTCATGTAGCTATATTGAAGAAGAAAAAAGAAAAAAGAAATCATAATTCAATAAATGTATGACCCCATGCCGAGGATTCTATGCAATTCCATAGAGGTCAAAACAATTCATTTGTCAAAGTGTTTGATCCACATATCGTATTAACAAGAAGGCCCAGCAGCAATCATTATAACACAGCATTTTATATATCATCTCATTGTAATTCTAGACATAGTTGGTAAGATAACCAACAATGAGTAAATGTCATCCTCATATACCCTAAATGCAGTAATGTATTTTATGGTATGTAATTTGTCATCTATTTTGTAAAATATACACAAATCTTGGAGAGACATTGAATTGATGAAGTGGTAAATAATAAAACGACAAATAATAAAACAACAAAGAAAGTTATACAAATTCAAGACACCATTCATCGATCATCAGGGTGTAGTTAAGAGTGTTGTATAATTATACATTGTATACCGGTATGTTAAAGCGAGATCCTCAATAATATGAAGCTTATGTTGTCCCATTATCAAATATTTGTTTTAGTCCATTTACAAATAAATGAAGGATATGATATCATTCAATAGAAATAACCATCTAATATGTGGGGTTCTTTAATAAAACTGAGATTTGTATTAATTGAGGCGGTCAGCATGGTCAGCAGAGCTAGCCAGATATTAGACCGAAAGCTTCAGTCTCTATAATCGTCGGTTGTTCCACTGAGACTACGTCTGGCTCCACTAGACCTCCGGTTATAGAGACAGAACGATCGCCTATGCCAGCCTGTGTTGAACTTATTCCGCTAGATTTTAGCCGCTAGGCCCCTCCCACAAACTTGCCACGGCCGTATTGTTATGCCCCCCAAATCCCCCAAAATGTCATTTTACCTCGTTCATTTCCAATTTTAAATTAGGCCTAGGCTATAATACATCGGTTCCACTTACTAACTTGATTGATATAATCCGTTTAATGGTCCCTTTTAAGGAAATTATCGGTCAAAATCGACATCCATGTTGAAAATCTTGCAAGCCGTGTTAAACTCTCGCTGCCGTCAATCTCATCCCTTCTAGTCTACGCCGAAGGCAAAATTATTATGAAGGAAAAACTGTGCGCCATCTACACGTTCGTAATGGCGTTATCACAGTTTTTCCTTCATAATCATTTTGCCTTCGGCGTAGACTAGAAGGGATGAGATTGACGGCAGCGAGAGTTTAACACGGCTTGCAAGATTTTCAACATGGATGTCGATTTTGACCGATAATTTCCTTAAAAGGGACCATTAAACGGATTATATCAATCAAGTTAGTAAGTGGAACCGATGTATTATAGCCTAGGCCTAATTTAAAATTGGAAATGAACGAGGTAAAATGACATTTTGGGGGATTTTGGGGGCATAACAATACGGCCGTGGCAAGTTTGTGGGAGGGGCCTAGCGGCTAAAATCTAGCGGAATAAGTTCAACACAGGCTGGCATAGGCAGTCGTTCAGTCTCTATAACCGGAGGTCTAGTGGAGCCAGACGTAGTCTCAGTGGAACAACCGACGATTATAGAGACTGAAGCTTTCGGTCTAGCCAGATATAAACATGTACAGTCTCAGCGGATCAACAGTTCATATCGGACACTGGAGTTATATCGGTCTAATGACGTCATATGCTAAAGTTAATATCAAAATTGCAATGATTTGAAGTACACAAAAATGTTGTCTGCCTGACATTTGACAGTTCATGGCATTTATAAAATAAAACATCAATTTCAAATATTTTCAACTATAGACCCTATTTATGATTTGGAATTGGCAAAAAAATTATGTTAATAAATAGATAGACTGTAGCTAAGTGAATTCACCTCATAATTGAAGAGCAGTACTGTCTCAACATAGATGATTCCATACATTTGACTCTTATTTTTGACCCCCATCACAGATCACATGCAATTTTACAGATCCGTACAGCAATAAATACTCACATCTTGTACCAGTTTTCTAGACTGCATAGGGCTCGCATAGGACGGGGTGTTAGGCGATCCAGAAGGTGGAGCTGACCGATTGTGAACAAGACGTTGAATTTCATCGTCTAAAAGTCGCAAATCTGCTGCTCTTCCTCCTCCTCCACCAGACAGTCTTGGGAGACCATCTTCAACACGGTCTCTACTGTAATACGCCATTTCTTGATTTTATTTCGTGGTAAAAACTCTCTTTTCTATTTCAGTTGTCATAAAATTTCACGAAATCGCAGCAAACGACGAAAATCGCTGGAATGTGATCGTGTGTAGCAAGCTCGCTATACACAACGTGTACGGTGTATACAATACAACCTTTGCTAGGCAACAAACAAAACACCTGCACGATAATACCGGAGCGTATGTGTGCTCCGACTCCCTGCATGGTAGATCGGGGTTGATGGCAGAATTAATTAATTGGACGAATCGATTGTCTACATGGGGACATCAAGGTTGACAATCTAAGATAACATGATAATATACCTCAAATCAAGCGATCAAAATATAGTACGTCTAAAGATTATATATTAAGAATACAATTTCAATTTCAATTTTTCTTTGAGAACAATCGTATATAGCTTTTATTTTTTGATTAGATTTTGTCTTTACCTAGAGTACAATATATTGGAGCGTTCCACCTGTTCTACTTCTTTCTCGAGGACATTTATGATTTTGTTTCGCTTCATTAGAGTTGCTTTGACGACGATGCCACAAAATACTATTTTTCATTAATTAGATAAATGGTAGATTGTGAAGCACGGGATGGTTGGTGGGAAGGGGGAGGGCGTCATTAGTTGAATTTGGGTAATTTTTGAAGGGAGTTGGAATAAAGTAAAAAGTAAGAATGATACGAAATTCACCCAATTTAATATTGAAAATGTCTAGAAAGAGGACGACTTGACACCCCCTCCCCTAAAAAATATTATTAGCAAGTTCCGACAAGCAAGTTAAAGTCGACACTAATGATGAGCGATATCTAAAAAAGGGGGAATTCCAGTGCGAACTCTGATAAATGGCTGCATGCTCTCTCTTTTTTGTTGTTGAAGGATTTCATAATGGTATGGGTCAATAATCTTTGTTTTCCTCCCTTTGTATCAATCTCTTTTCAAATTCATTTTTTTGCAAAGTCGATGAACCCCCTTGCCATCTTGGACAAAAAATTAATTATTTTCGATAAAAATTAATAATTTGCATAAACGCCCCTGAGAGGCAAAAATATGGGTGATGATTAATGTCATAAGATGTCGATCATCAGGACACACCGATCTCCATTTCACCTATACTCAACTCACAATCCTTGACCCCACGTGAACCAGCACCGACCAAATCAAAACACAACACGATGGACTCCACGAGGCCATTGCGTAACTTGAGCCCCATCATCACCTTCACCGCGGAGGTCATAAATCATGATAAGATGTTGAAAGACTTATCACTCTATTATTTAATTGGGTAATGTGCGGTTTGGATGTTCTTTCAGCTCGTAAATTTCATGCCATGATACTCTTGTCAATCATTCAGCCTCTGCGAATCGGGAAAGTGATGAGTGATAAATAGTCTTTAATTGCACTGGCATGTTTTACTGCCATTAAACTGCGGCACATTCTTTACAGATTCAGAGTGTACACATTAACAGTATATTGTACCCTCAACCAACGCTGCACAGTACATTTTATTGAAACAATTATATTTGATAAAATTTAATCCGCGAAATGTTGCAAGTTTCACAGGGTATGTACATGTATTTATGACATAGACTGCGTGAAAGGACGGGTGAAGCTAAGAGTTCATACATATGCATCACTTCCTTATTACCATACGAATGGCATGAATAAATAGAATTCGAATCGCAGCGGCACGGACGGATGTGTAATTTCGTAGTCTAAACTGCATACGCATTGCTCCCTATCTCTATTGTGCATTATTAAATATAGTCCATAATTATTTCTATACATCTGTTCAGCATTTTATTCACCGTTAATAAAATGTGTTATTTTGCATAGACTGAAAGGAGAAAGCAAGCGTATTAAGGAAACAAAAGTCCTACATTTGAAAGTCAGAATAACACAAAGCGCTTGTAAACAAAGACTATTTATCCGTACGCACACTCGTACATCGTGCACTTTTAATTTATGAGTGCGTCCTTCGGACGTTTGTGGACGATCAAAATTGTTTATTTTTAATCTCCTTTTTGGGTTTATTAATTGATTATGATATTGTATCACTTTTATTGCATTTCGTTCATTTAATCAATACATTTGATGCCCAATAATTTATGACCATATTTTCATATCTTTTGTCGTTCTCTCTTTAAACGCAGATTATCGGATCGTGTTGAGCCCGTTTGCATATTATCAACCAATAATACATATACATATTTTATTCACAATATTCGTTGAAATGCCATTTGTCGTTATCGCTTCTCGGCCTTTTGGCTAAGATCATGTGTAGTATCTGTTCTTTTCAGCTTAATATCTGAAACGCGACTCACCGAGTCGCTTGTATATTAAACTGATTTTTGAATCTAGACCATGGAATAGGGGCTTGCTCCATCCTGGTCACGGGTTGGCCCGGTATTGCAGTACCTCCGGGATCGGCCCACCCCTCAGGGGGTAATAATAAACCAAAGAAAGACTCCTCTCCTGTCTCCATTCTCTCCGTTTTCTCATAATGAACGTCCAAACATGCCCTCATATCAATTATGACTCTGGTTCGTTTCCAAAAGGGATTTTGAGCCAAATTTTAGAAAAATTGCAAGGAGTTTATAGTTCATCATTTTTGCCAAAAATGAAAATTTTCAATCTTTTTTATTTCCTTGTCATGAGCGTCCAAAATTGCCCTCAGAAATATATTCATCCCCGCTTGTTTCCCAAAAGGAGCGTTAGGGCAAATTCGCCTCTTCAATTTCAGTTTTGGTAAAAATTGCACTAGGTTAGTTCATCATTTATGCCGAAATATTAAAACATTTTATGCCCTCAGAATTATGTTGATCCCCATTTGTTTCCCCAAAAGTGGCATAAGGGCAAATTTGGGATAAATTCGAAAATCGCCAATTTCATTGCAAAATGGCAAGGGATAAGTTCATAAAAATGTCACTCTTCTTTGTTTCCTCATCATTAAAGTCCCAAATTGAATTATATAAATCCCCGCTTGTTCCCAAGAGGGGAATAAGGGCATATTCGGGATAAATTCGAAAATCGCCACTTTTTGGCAAAAATGGCAAGGAGACTTCATCATTTAGGCCTATGCCGAAAGGGGGAGATGCATTGGTTTCGATTTCGATTTCGTCCGACTTTCAAAAATGCAACAAGTCGTCCAAAACAGTGTGCCTACACAAAATCTATTGTGTCATAATTATATAGGATTACTTTATTATTTGATTTATTATTCAAATTGGACCAAAATTCACTTTTAACGACTCAAAACCTGACATACAGGTGAAAATGAAGTAGGATTTTCCCATACATTTAAATACTTTTAAAAGGTTTTAAATTTGTGCAGGTGATAGAGAGCAAGACGAGGCAATCTATGATATCCGATAAAATTTGAGATCTGATGATATTGTTATGATATCTGAGGTCTAGCGCCATCTTACCTAGAACGTCCATCGCTATATTAGGCCTAAAAAAAAAATTGATGACTTGGCGTAACGGGTCACTGAAAATTAGGGTAGGTAGGGCGATTTTTTTTTTTTTTTTTTTTTTTTTTTTTTTTTTTTGTTGCTTATATTTGCATACATGAAATTACCCATTCATACACATACATACATACAGTGGCGTAGATAGGTCCTCAGACCTTGGGGATGATCTGATGAGAGGGGTAGACCACAATATGTTCAAATAACTCCACGCACACACACACACATAAATGGACACACACATATATGGACACACACACTGTGTGAGCAAAGTGAGCAAGAAATTGTTGAAATCTTGATCACCTTGGGACCAGGGGGATGCATACATACACCTGCCCCCCCCCTGCATACATACATGTACATACACCCTCATGTACATAAAATGCAAACATACGAACGCATTAATAGGTTTCCAACAGACCCTAGCCTGAGATATCTCAGACACTGTCTTCAACAGGATAAACAGGTGAATATGTAGGTTTAGAAGGGGCTGTTCACAAATATTAGTATTTTCACAATGTATTGACTAGCATTTATATAACTTGTCTAGAGGTTAACATGTTAACATGTTAACATGTATCCAAAATCTTGAAGAATGAGGGTTGAAAAGAGTAGCCAATTACAACTTGTGAAAATATTTACAATTGTGAATGGCTCTGTAATAACAAACAGTTAAAAAATGTCTCCAGTATTTCAGAATCCTTTATCCAAAAAAAAAATAAAAAAATAAAAAAATAAAAAAAAATAAAAAAAAATTAAAAAAAAAAAAAAAAAAAAAAAAGCGTAGGGTCGGCGATAAAAATAGGGTCGGGCGGGTTACGCCAAGTCATCAATTTTTTTTTTTAGGCCTTATGGACCTACAAGGTCCATGGTCACATGCACCTAAATACAGGATTTGTTCATGCCCTGTAAAAATAGAAAGAAACAAAAAGTGCAATCAAATTTGGTCTAAGGCAGTTTAAAGAAGTCTACGGTATATCTTATTTATATTGATATGTTAATAATCTATAAAGTATTGAACATAATCTTTCTTCCTCATAAGGAGAGAAATGCATTTAATTGCAATGGTTATGCTGAAAACTTTAAGATACTCTGTCCCTTTTGCAGCCAATATCAAGTATCTGTATAACTTTGCAGGAATTATGAATATGTTATGTATGTCCTATCCATAACATATTTTGAGCAGTGCCCCAAGGGAGTTGGCACTTGGGAGAGTTATCCGGCTATGTTGTAGTTTGTACACTCTTGTTGTACCAGCACGGTGTATTTTGCGTGAGGCATAACCAGTTTGCTGTGATTCAAACCAACATTTGTTCTTTTCCTCAATGTCTTCCTAATTTCCCAGGTATATTTTGAAATCTTTGCATTTTCCACACAATCTTGTGCTTCCTTTTGTTAAAAAAAAACACAAAAAACAACACCACTCATTTCGTTTTCTTTAGATATTAATATGGGCGCCTTTATCAAGCCTATATCGAGCATAAACAAAACACAAACAACCCAGATGTTTCAGACTGTAATGATTATATAAAGGTCAGCTGTGCATCCACAACATATAACTCTCCAAAAATGGGAGAGGGGGGGGGGGGTCAAAATAAAACACCAGCAACCTGCATTTTTAGAACCCTAGTGCAATTTTCACAGAGTGGGAGAATCAAACGGGGGAGGGATGGGATGTATATCAACACTGTGCAATTTTCAGTGAGTG